ACCTCAATTACTCTAATCTAGAAAAATCCCTCACAGCAATGCCCAAAGGCTTGTCTCTTTGGTGATTCCAGCTCCTATCAAGTTGACAATCAAGATTAAGCATGACAGGGGATTAGCATTCTCTGATCTCTTCTGATTAATCCTAATCTCTTCTGACTGGCCTCATTAAGCATGTCTTTGAGGTTTGCTTCAGGTCTCCTTTCTTCTGGAAGCTTCCTTGGTTGTGCTGGTTGGAGGAAAATGCATTCCCACATGCTCTTACCATCCCACAGCCTTTCAGTGCTACAGGGACTTCTGCAGATTAAATCACTTCCCCAAATCTTCCTTGATGACCATAGTAAGTGCAATGGTGCTTATAGCTGATCTGTTGAAGGGCTCAACAGATGGATCATATGACTTCTCTATGAATGATGCTTAGGTACTTTTATTTTTGTCTTTGAACACATGCTTGGGTGACAGCACATTTGTACATGTGTGTGGAGCCTGATATCATGCCTGGTGGTTATGTGGGTGCTGGAGATTAACCCTGGATCCTCATGTTTAACTGTTTTGTGGTGAGAGCCATCTCCCCAGGCACCTGAAAGATTTTCTACTCTCCTTGTGAATCTTGTACGTCTGTGCTTTTCCTTCCTGTGACTAAATGACTCAGAAGAGGAATTTTGTTTTGCTCATTTATTTTGGCTCTCAGTTTGGAGGAGCTTACAGCTTACAGTGTGCATACTCCACTGATTTTGACTAGAGGTGAGGTAGCTGTGGTGTGTGACCCAGGCAGATACTGCTGACTTAATGGAAGTAAAGAGAGGGTGAAAGAAAACAAAAAGAGGGTAGGACAACAGGGACTCATCAAAGTCCCTCAAGTGCACCATTTCCTTCAGCTAGGCCCTGTATCCTAATAGACCACATGGTCACTTTTGTGATGGTGTCAACTCTCCATAGCACCAGGTAGGGACCAAAATTTCAATGCATGAACCTTTCTGAGGATGTTTATTCCCCATCAGACCCAGTTTTTAAATTTTGTTTCTTCTTCTTCTTCTTCTTCTTCTTCTTCTTCTTCTTCTTCTTCTTCTTCTTCTTCTTCTTCTTCTTCTTCTTCTTCTTCCTCTTCCTCCTCCTCCTCCTCCTCCTCCTCCTCCTCCTCCTCCTTCCTCTTCTTCTGTAATCTATCCAGATTATTAAGAACAGTAGCTGGGAGACAGAAGCATGAGAATCAAAATCAAATACTGAGAGCCAGGACCAGAGAGCCAGAGAGATGGTTCAGTGGGTAAAGGCACCTGCCATGAATTTGATGACCAGGATGCTCTTGGTGGAAGAAGAGAACTGAGTCCAAAAGTTGTCCTCTGACCTCCACAACCATGTTATGGCACAGACATACACACACATATGGTAAGTAAATAAATGCTTAAAAATGTTTTAAAGAGTTCAAGGACAGCTTAGGATATATAGTGAGTTTGAGGCTAGAATGAACTACATGAGACCCTGTCTCAAAAAGCAAACAACAAACCCCCACAAACAAACCAAAATACAACAGCCTGAGAAGATGGATCAGAGAGCTTGGGAGGCGGCTCAGTTGGTGCAGTACTTGCCATGTGAAGATCTGAGTTCAGATCCCAGACCCAGGTTAAAAAAAAAGCCAGTCAAGGCAGTGCACATCTGTAATCCCAGAACTGGGGAAGCAGAAACAAGCTGATCATTGGAGCTCTCTAATCAACCAGTCTAACCAATTCAGAGAGTTCCAGGCCCAGTGAGTTGCCTATCTCAGCAAATAAGGTGGGAAGCAACTGAGTAAAACACCCAATATTGACCTCTGATGTTCAAACAAGTACACACATGCACACATGCTACCTACACCCCACAATAAAATTAAAATAGGAAAATACTAGGTTAAACATTTTGCATGGTATTATTAATTTTTAAGATCTGAAATTTCTGTCCAGAAATCAAGGCTATCAGACATTTAGTTATAAAAAGACAAACACATAGCTGGGTGCTGAGGTGCACACCTTTAATTCCAGTACTTGGGAGGCAACTGTGAAGTTGAGGCCAACCTTGGTCTACACAGTGAGTTCTGGAACAATCAGAGCTACTCAAAAAGACCCTGTCTTAACAATCAATCAAATGAATCACATATTCACACACACACACACAAACACACATGCACACACTTGTGCACATACACACACACATACACATTGGTGAGCATGTGCCCACGTACACTCGTGCACCAAACACATCCCCTAAAGAGACTTAAAATAGCTGGACTGGATCCCCAAGGCTCAACCTTGTTGTGCGGTACTACTTCCAACAGAGGCCAGTGTTCTGATAAACCACGAGGGGAACCTTGGCGGATCCCATGACGGGAGCGGACAAAGAGACAAACACTTAAGCAAACAGAGCTTAAGTGAGAAGTTTTATTAGAATGGGAAGGGGTGGGGGAGAGAAAATAGGCAAGAAGACACAAAGAGGAAAGAAGAGAAGAGGGAGACAGGACAAGTCCTGTCTTCACCAAGGGAACAGCAGGAAAGAGAGTTGGAAAAAGAGAGCAGAAAATTAGCGGGAGAGCATAAAAGAGACAACACAGAGAGAGCGGGAAAGAGAAGAGATCATAAGTAGACAAGTGGGTGGGGTCTTTCTTTTAAAGGGGTCCTTGCACCTGGGCTGACCAGCGTACTGCCTGAATGCATTTTGCCAAGTGACACGGCCAGGCTAGCATAAAGCCTGAATCCTTACAGCCACCCAGCCCACCACTGCTGCTGATCTCAGGCTTTCACAGTCTGTAGCCTTCCGCAGTGAACAGTCGTTCCCGTCCAGACATTTGGATGAAAATCTCTATACAGTACATTATCTCATCTCCTAACCATTATAGGCATAATGCTGTTGTTTCTTCTTCTTTTTTTTTTTTTTTCCGGGAGGGGTGAGTCAGCCTTACCATTTTCTGTCATTGTAGATACTGGTCTAATGGAGACCAATGTTACTTTTGGTTTTGTGAAGAAAACTGTAAAAAGGAAAAAAGAGAATAGTCTGTGTATTCCCGTTTTTAAAACTTCAAGGAATGTTTTTCCATTGTAAAACCAAAATAGAGTGTTGTGCCCAAATTCTGAACCTCAAAATCACCAAGAGGCCCATTTCAATGCAAAAGCAGAGTCTTTTATTGTATTTGTTTAAAGAGCCAACCCCATTAGCTCGGGCCTTTCACGAATCCACTGCAGGGGTTGGCTGAAGAAAAGACCAAGAGAAATCATGAGGCAGGGATCTTATAGGGCAGCATAAGAGGAGTGTCTAGGGGTACACAACAGTCTCAGGATTAGTGAGCTTCCAGGCTTGGACAACCTTCCCTGTGCTGATTGGTCAACTGGTTGTTATGGCCCATAGACCTTCCCAGGGCAGTTGCTAATTTCTGCAGGTCACCGCTGTGCACTTGTCAGTAAAACACACCCAGAGCCTTAAAAGCACAGCCCTGCCGCTAACTGCTGATTGGTTCCTTGCCACGAGGAGGGCATCTGACCAGGACCGGAGGGGCAAAGTCAGGCACAAGTTAGCCTGTCATGGCTGCTAAAACGGGGGGCAGGGGGGGTGGTCCCTTCAAGAGTTATTACATAAAATGTAGATGCGAGGATGGAAGCAGTTCTTCCTACTCCTGTCACCACACTGTGTTGAGTTGATAACTCAAGGACATTAATGGAGACCTTGCAGGCTGATGTGGCTGGAATGTGGGGTACCAGAGGGACTGGAGAGATGGGCTGTGGAGGTGGAGAGAGCCTGGAGCACCTTTTATATGAGCTCACAGTGAAAAAGACTTTGGGCATTTAAAGTGGTGGGGTTTTGCTTTTTAATGGTGTGTGTGTGTGTGTGTGTGTGTGTGTGTGTGTCTGTGCGCGCGAGCGCACGTGCATGGGAGTGTTTGGTGCCCAGGAATGGCACCACCCACAATGGAAATGCCTTACAAGCTTGCCTACAGATCTATCTTCTTATGGAGGCATTTTCCCAGTTGAGATTCCCTCCTCTCAGATGACGCTAGCTTGTGTCAAGTTAACCAAACCAGTCAGCACCTATTATTCTGTTTGGAGTCAGTGGGAGCCAGGTGGTGCTGGGTAGTAAGACAGAATGCAGGCAAAAGAATATACTCACTCTTCCCCCATGGAATGCATAGCAGAGGAACTCAATACTAACATAGTAATTTTACAAGAGGTGAAGGAAAGGTTCCAAACACCATTCTACAAGGCTGATTAACTGATGAGAACTGGGGACCCCAGGCTGTTGCAGATCTAGAGCCAAACTATCTTGGGCTGTTAGTCCCTCAAATAGTCATTTATTACCAACCCATTTATGAACCAAAAGCCTGTGACTATTAGGCAAATTCATCTGGAGACGCCCTCAACCCCACCAACAGGAAGGATAAGAATGTCAATAGTTAGCATCTGAGTCCTACAGCGGAGACTTCTCCACTTCATTAAAGCACACCTAAATTGATGTATCCAGTAATATATTTAAGGGGTGTTTTATGGCTTTCTTTGTTCTGATATTATGAAAATGTCATGAGATTGTTACCCTATTAGAACATGGATTTATGATGATTTAACTGTGTTCCTGAGCCATGGTCACTTATACTCCAGAATAAGTTATCTCTTATTCGCTTTGAGGTGACAGTTGTGTGCTTTCATGTAGGCACAGCAAATAGAAAGCGGAAACGAGGAGTCTGGAGAGGCAGTCCAGCACTTAGGAACACTTACTATCTTTTACACGATCCAGGTTTGAGTCCCAGCACCCTTCCATATAGGGTACCTTGTTACTGCCAGTTAACTCCAACTCCAGGGAATCATCTGGCCTCCATGGTCGCCGGCAATTACATTCTGCCCTTTGGAGGGGTGTAACTTTGCAAATTACGGAGAAGAGGAACTGATATACTTTTGCCAACGCAGTCCCCTCAAACGAGCGGCGGTCCACAGGGAAGCAGGTTTTGTCCCCTAGGCGCCACCGTCCGGCCACACCTCGTCGCACTGACTTCTGGGAGCTGTAGTCCTGCATTCCTGCGTAGACATGGCGGCCTCCTTGGCAGAAGGTTGTAGGGTGTCCCTGAACCTGACCCGGAGCTTCCGAACGGCCAGACCGCGGCTGGCTGCACTCGCGTCGGATATCTGCTGCGTCCGCACGGGATCCAGCCGGCTTCAGAGCACCGGGCCTTCCAAACCCGATGGGTTCAAGCCACCTCCGAAACCTGTCATGGTGGACCGGCGCCGAGCCCCGGACGAACATAGAAGGTGAGGCGGCCTCAGCCTCGTGGGTTTGTCATGCGTGAGCGTCTGCAGCTCGGAGCTGCAGGGGTGTGCGCGCCCTTGGATACCGGCTCACCTTGTAGCTGGGCTGCACATTCGTTCTCGAGTTTCGCGTCTGTCCCACTCTAGATCCCGAAGGACGCTGGCTTGGACGCCCATTCCTCAGTTTTGTTTGTTCTAAACTTTTCATCGTAGTTGCACCTGCGAACGTGCTTGAGCTGATCTGACCTCCCCAAACCCTGGGTAGAGTCTGTTGGCCAACGCTCATCGCGGTGGATTTCTGAGCTAGAGGCTGTTTCGGAGCACTCACAGCCAAAACAAACCTGTTTTCGTAAGAAAAACTTGGTGCCATTTTATAGGCTCTTTAGAAAGGGTGTAGCTTGCTGAGAGGATTGTCTCTGGGCTTAAATATTTCAAATATCTTGCAGTTCTAAGTTGAAATCGGCTTGGACTTAGGAAAGCTAATGATTTAGAAAATAATATTTTCTGTATTTTTATATGACTTATTTATTTTTATTTTATGTGCACTGGCGTTTTGCCTGCATGTATGTCTGTCAGTGTGAAGCTGTCAGATCTTGGAGTTACAGACAGTTGTGAGCTGCCAAGAAGGTGCTGGGAATTGAATCCAGATCCTCTGGAAGAGTATTCAGTGCCCTTAACCACTGAGTCATCATCTCCCCAGCTCCAAGAAAAGAGTATTTTCTTATGACAACATTACCTCATTGAGGTGGGAGAATAATCTTTTAAAAGCTGGAGGGATGGCTAGCCCTTAGGAACACTGGATGCTCTTTCAGAGGGCCCTCAGAGTGGCTCACAACCACCTGTAATCCCAGGTCTGGTGGATCCAGCACTCTCCTTTTGGTCTCTGAGGAAACCTGGTTATGCATGTGATGCACAGACATAATTGCAGACAAACACTCATACACATAAAAAAAAGTGAATCTTCAAAAGCTAACAGTGTGGACCAGCAGTGGTAAAGGTGTCCCTTGTGCAAGCCTGTCCTCCCAGGTCCATCCCCAGAACACACAGTGGGAAGAAAGACCCTACTCCAAAATTTGTCTCCAGACCCCTGCATGGATGCTATGGTATGCACCCCACCCCTAGTACACAATAACTATATACATGTGGGTGTTTGTCTCCCTTTGTAGATCAGGCTGGCCTTGAGCTTATAGAGATCTGTCTGCTACTACCTGCTGAGGGTTAGGATCAAGGTAGGCACCACTATGCTTGGTGAAAGGCTTGCAACTGGTGATTTGTATGTATTTTCTCCATACTTGTAGTTCAGTGTGTGACCTGTGGGCATAGGCTGTGCAGACTGAGAGGCATACAGTGTTGAAACTGAAAAGATTGTAACTAATAGGAATAGTAATGTGTCAGTGGTTTTTCATCCTTAAGCTCCAGTAGTGTTTTGTTTTTTTGTAAATAGATGACAGCAAAACCACCCAATTTCTCTGAAGATTAATTTGTGCTACCAAGTTAATCAGCTTGAGGGAAATACTTACTTTGGCTCAGGGTTTCATCAGTTTTAGTTAACTTTGCATGGTCCTAGCCCTGTCACTTTGGCCCTGCAGTGACATGGTACAGCATGGCAGGAAGTAGCCTCTGGGTAAAGCCAAAGAAGAAACAGAAAGGGCCTGGGTTCCAGTCTTGTCTTCAAGGTACATGCCCAGTGATGTTGCTGTGGAATAATCCTGTTCATTGTAAATATGTAGACTCTCAGTGGTTAGTATGGAGCTGATTAGCTGATGGCTAGGCAGGATTTTGGGGGCAGAGAGAAGAAGGGTGAAGTCTTGAGACGAACAGCAAGCAGAATGAGAAGTATACACATGAGGTCAGTGAGCCTCAGGGCAGCACATGGATTAGCAAAAATCGGTTAATTTAAGTTATAAGAGCCAGCTAAAAACAAGCCTAAGCTATTGGGCAACCATTCATAATTAGTAAGTCTCTGTGTGGTTATTTGGGAGCAGGCAGTTGGGACAGAAAAGTCCACCTTCGTAACATATGTTTCCTTTACTGGGCCGCAATTTTTAAAGCTTCCTAACCCCCAGTAGCTGCATAGACTGGCAGCTAAACTCTTAGCATATGCACCTTCTTGGGCAATTAAGGCCCAGACCTTAAGGGATACTTAGATGTTTTATAAGCTTTTGACTCAGGAGTGCTGACAGTTCTCATGAACATTAACAGTGGTTTTGGAAACAACAATTTTAGAAATAAGATGATTCCTTATTTAAATGAAATGCACCAACATATTACCCTTTCATTTCTTTGTAAACCAGCCTTTTTCCCCCTTGTATTAGCCCACATTACCTTTTTATTTTAAAAATTCTTCCTTTATAGATTCCTGAGTCCCGAATTCATTCCTCCAAGGGGAAGAACAAACCCTCTGAAATTTCAGCTAGAAAGAAAAGATATGCTAGACAGGAGGAAGGTGCTTCACATTCCAGAGTTCTATGTTGGTGAGTAAAGTCTGAGTGTCTGTCAGCAGGTGTTGGGGGATAGTTTTCTTTGCATAAAAATTCCAGATGTCTGGGTTTTGCTGTTAGTTATTTCTAACACACTAAGTTATAAACCTTATTTGTTCATTTCTGCATGTCATGTCAGAGCTTGTTTATCTTTTGACTGTAGGAAGCATACTGCGTGTCACCACAGCTGACCCGTATGCCAGTGGGAAAACCAGCCAGTTCCTGGGGATTTGCATCCAGCGGTCAGGAAAAGGGCTTGGAGCTACTTTCACCCTTAGGAACACGATTGAAGGACAAGGTATATTTGTGCTTCCAGAATGTGAAAGTGGGTTTTCCCCAAGAGATAACATGTGCTTTGCAGTAGGCAGGGATTTGCTCACTGTTTAATGAACTGTTGGAGGGTCCACTTTGTTTTGAAAGCTTCTTTTATTATATGGATTAGACTTCCTGGGGTGGGTATGGTTGTTCATGCCTGTTGTCCTAGCATAAGGACATGCTGAGGCAGGAAGATTTTTAGTTTGAAACCAGGTTGGACTACATAGTAAGACCCTGCCTAAATAAACGTGGCATCTTGAAGAGTGCAGATAGTGTATAAAGCAGTGAGAGAGATTCCTTTTGCTTTATTGTAGTGTTTCTGAGACAGGGTCTTCCCATGTAGACCATGAATGGCCAGGATTTTGCTAGATAGAGCTGGTTGACCTCAAACTTGAAGCAGTCTTCCAGTCTTTGTCTTCTGAGGAATGCGATCAGAGAATTAGAGATGTGAGCCTTCACATTTAGCAGGATCATCCTTTTTCCAGTCTGTCCACTGGGACAGACAGGATGGTATTCTTAGGAGTCTGAATTCTAAGATGAAGGCTCCTGCTTTATCTTATGATACAGTCACTTCACTATGAATTCAGAAGCAGTCATATCTGCCATGACAAACACAGCAGAGGAGCAAATAGTAAAGCTCTAGGAAGACGAAGAATTGAAATGGCAAGTGAGAGTGTATTCTTACAAATGCACTTCAGGGTTCTCAACAGTCAAGTTTACAGAGAAATTGCTACTATAAGAGCAGGCCTTCAAGGTGAATTTTGGAGGGGTCACATTGAAAACAGTGTCTTGCTCACCAAATTACTGTGTTTGTGTCAAGAGGGCCCTTCTCTGGTGTACTAGTTTAGACGGTTACTATGATAAAACACTGACAAAAGCAACTTAGGGGAGGAGAGTTTATTTCAGCTTACACATTCAGGTTAGTCTTGAGTGGAACTGAGACAGAAACCATGGATGAATGCCGTTTGCTGGTCCACTCATAGGCTCATGGTTAGCCAACTCTTCATATAGCCTAGGACCACCTGTCTGGGGATGGTAGCTCCCATGGGGGACTAGGCCCTCATATCAACTGACTATCACGACAGTGATCTACAGATATACTCATAGACCAATCTGATCTCCACTGTTCCTCAGTTGAGGCTATTGTATGTTATCATAGTTGAAGCGATGGGATGACATATTTATAGACTTCTTATGCAACATCATTCAATTTTTACTTTTTAGTTTAAATGAAGTTTAGTTTTGCTTTAGTAATCTTCATCTTTAGAAATTACATGTGTTTGTTCCGTGTCCTACTTGCTAGCTTCTTATTTTATAGTACTGTGAAGTATTGCAGGAGTCTGGACTTCGGTGGTAAGCATATTCTCTTTTTAGGTGTGGAGATTTGCTTTGAACTGTATAATCCTCGAATCCACGAGATCCAAGTGGTGAAGTTGGAGAAGCGGTTGGATGACAGCCTGCTGTATTTACGAGATGCCCTCCCCGAGTTCAGCACCTTTGATGTTGACATGAAGCCGGTCCCACTTGAGTCCTGCCAGGAAGTGCCCATTAACAAGGTAGATCATGTACATTTGCTTAGGTACAAGGATGAAGAAGCACCCTGCAGAAAACCTGGGGAGGCTTATGTGCATCTCACCTCACCAGCCCAAATTCTTTTATTTTCCTTAGCTGAAAGTTAAGATGAAGCCAAAACCATGGTCCAAACGCTGGGAACGTCCGTGCTTTAACATTAAAGGAATCAGATTTGATCTTGCTTTAACTGAAGAGCAAATGAAAGAAGCCCAGAAGTGGAGCCAGCCATGGCTTGAGTTTGATATGATGAGAGAATATGACACTTCAAAAATTGAAGCTGCACTGTGGGAAGAAATAGAAGCATCAAAGAAGTCTTGATCTTGGGACTTGTGAGACGGCTCAGCAGGTAAACATTCTTCCTGCTCAGGCTGATGACCCGAGTTCAGCTCTGGAACCCAGGGTGGACAGAGAACTGACTCCTACAAGTTGTCCTTTGCCTTTTCCGTGTACACCCTAGCACACGTGAGCCTGAACTTGTACACATCCATTAAAGTGTTTTTTCCTTTTATGCCCTTGCTCTGAGGATGCCTTTAGTTAATTGCTCAGGATTTGGCTTGAAAGCCATTAGTTTGCTTTGTAAGAACACAGCCATCAAATGAAAGAGCACCCTCACCTTGTCAGTACCTAGTATAAAGTCTGCATTCCAGTTTATGGCTCTAAAAAGAGAAGTCACCCATCATTCACTCCCCTTTGCAGTCGGTGGAGTCAGCATCACCAAAATGAGGTGTACTGGGATGTGAGCAAGGGGAGTAAATTAGGAAATGGTCAAATACCCAGCATTGTAGAGTTCGAGTGTAATAGTAGCGACTGTAGAGGTGGATCAGTAGTTAAGAACACTTGCTGTTCTTGCAGAGGACCTGAGTCCAGTTCCCAGCACCCAGGTCTGTATGTATGTGTATGGATATCCAGAGACCAGAAGAAGGTATCAGATTCTCTGGAACTGGAGTTACGCTGCTTGTGACCCACCTGACATGGGAGCTGCGGGTACTTAGGTCCTGGAAGAACTGAATGTACTCTTAAATCGCTAGCTATTGCTCCAGCCCTACAGTATTAAATGTCTTGCTTGGACAGGCTCATCAGCAGGTAGGAAAGGATGCTGTCTTGCCCTGTGGATGTTTCGAGGAGAATGTGGCAGTCTTAGTTGTGGTCTGGCTTCATTTCCCCCTCAGTTTATAAAAACATCTTGTGAGGGATTCTATGGGTAAAGTGATGAGTGAATTCTGCTAAACAGAAGACATCCCAGGGCACCTGGCATGGCCACAGTGTGCACTAGCGATGAGTGTCCAGCAGGACGGTTGTCAAAGAGTGTATTTTTCTTACTTTCTACATGGGGATCAAAACAGTCCTTCTGTGGGACAGGAGTGCACTTGGTAATCCATGAAGCAGAGCATGGGTTGGGAGGCTGGGCATCGCAGAGTAAAGATTACCCTACCTGAAACATCACAAGATCTTGGTGTCTCCATCAGTGTCTCTCAGAGCCCAGTCCTGCCCTCCTCCCCCCAAGCCTGGCTGTCTGAGGGCTGCTGCTTTTCTGTGAGCACTTTCTGCAGTCCTTGTTTTCATTTTCCTGGCTAACCCTTTAGAGGAAACCTAATTTAGCTTACAGAGATGTCATTGACCTCCGTAGCGTACCTGGTATGCCTCTCATGCTCATGTGGCCCATTTTACTCTTTAGAAAGACTGTCTGACCTGTGAGATCACTCTGCTTTTAAGTTTCCTTGTTACAATTCTACTGATAAGTGTTTTAGTGCTGTGTTAAGAAACACAGTCATTCTGGTTTCTGCTCCCTGTGTATGACTTTTACGTATGTAGTTTTAGTCTTCACAGTAATGAAATCAGTGTTGTGCCTTGGCGTAGGTATATTTATATCCACATTTTGGTGTGAGCCTTTCAACACAGTGACTCGTGTTCTGGGAAATTTGGCACTTGTTGCTGACTTTCTCTTATCGTCTGTCTTTCTGGAACCCTTATTTGGAGTTTAGATACCCAGTCTCCAGTGTGTGCATGTGTGACTGGGCATCAGATCCCTTGTAGCTGGAGTTGCAGGTGGTTGTGAGCCGCATGGTATAGGTGCTGGGAACTGAACTCTGTTGAGATTCTCTAGTCTCTGCCTCTGAGGCACAGGTCTTCTGATTTCCCTGAGTCTCTGTTTCAGAGTTCCCAGTTAGATCTGTGACTTGTCTCTGTTTGGGTGTTGTGGATGGGTAGACAAATGAGATGAAACTAGGGTTATTTAGTTATCTAGTCCTGTCAGCACTGGTCTGGGGATCCCCCTACTGAGTAATGTGGTCTTAGCTTAGCTGAACCTGTCTCAGTGTTGACATTTAATTTATAAGTCAGTGTAAGGAGAATAAAAACTACCCCAAGTTAGTTTTCCAATTCACGACCATGGTCTATCTCTTCCCACTTAGAGCTTTTAAAAGTTTTTCTTGTGGTGACACAGGCAATCCTAGGGCTTGGGAGGCAGAGGCAGGAGGGTCCCAAAATCAGTGTCACTTACACCTCAGAATAAAACTCAAGTCTCCATAAAGAATAAAACAAAGGAAACCAGCAGAGATAAAGGATGAAAGGCTCTGTCATGGACCCATGTAGCCCCTACCGGCTTGGAGCTCAACGTGAATCACCAGATGAATGTTTGCTCTTGCTGTGTTGATGCTTCCATTCCACAGCATCACAACATGCTTCAATTACAGTGCTTTAAGATGTCCACCCAGTTTAATGAGAGAAATCCAAAGCCAGAGAACAGCTTCCAAAAGTGTACTTTAACAGTAAAAAAATTAGAAAATTCATATGTAATAAAGTCTGCCATTTACATACAAAACCAAAACTTTCTATACCCACACCCACCCACACACACACGCTTTTGTAATGAGCAACTGTCTAAAATGACAACACTAACATGACCTCTCTGAGGATTCCGCAGGGTTTGATCTTTCTATGTGGGATTCTGTTGTGTACAGTGTGTAACAGTCTTCCTAGAGAACCACAGCCTTCGCTGTTACAGTGATAACAGCATGTCAGCTGTTCACATTACATGCTGTCTTGAAAATAGGGCTTCCAGTATGTAAACGCAGGCCACAAAGTCACATCTTACACTATAACGAACATTTTCTAGTTAGTAACTTGCAAAATATATACATAGGCTCATCATTGAGTTGCATAACATTCTTAAGAACATTAATATAGCCGGGTTTTTGTGGCGCACGCCTTTAATCCCAGCACTCGGGAGGCAGAGGCAGGCGGATCTCTGTGAGTTCGAGGCCAGCCTGGTCTACAAGAGCTAGTTCCAGGACAGCCTCCAAAACAATACAGAGAAACCCTGTCTTGAAAAAACAAAAAACAATAAACAAAAAACAAAAAAAAGAATATTAATATAATCATTTTGAAAAAAATCTCTAATTTCTTAACTACCTTGCCTCAACTGTCCTTAATCAAATACTTTACATTTCCATACTTAAAATAACAGTGGCCTTCTTATAATCCTATCATGAATGATACATAACATAATACAACAAAAAAGCCTAACTTGCTACCAAGTGATGACTTCATTATAAAAAAATCTTACACAAAATTCAAAGAAAATTTAAGTTTTCTGATAAACTATTTGCCAGAGGACAGGCAAAAGGTCAATATTATTATTTTTTTTATCATGGAAGTACTATAAGCCTCTAGAAAAAGTTGGGGAGTTGAAAAAGAACTACAAATGGCCCAAATCAACACATCTTTATTCTTCAACAGGAGCTGGAGTGGTTAAATCTCTTCCGGAGGACCTGGGTTTGGTTCCCAGCATCTACGTCAGGTGGCCCACAACCTCCTGAAGTCTGATTCCAGGGAATCTGATCCCTCTGGCCTTTGGTGGTCTCTGCAAGTTTAGTGGTGTACATAAAATTATCCAGGTTTATAAATGACCACACATACAGAAATCTTTTTTAAAAAGATTTTTTTCTTAATAAATTAACAAAGAATTACAAAACTGGAGACTCACCGGCACTCTTTCACTGAGCTTATGTAATCAACCAGTACAGATTTTGGAAGAACAATTTGTTATAAAAATGTGCTAATCATTTCATAACTAAGCAGTTCACTCCAAGATTTTCTCATTAGCTGATCTGTAAGTAGTGGGAATTTTAAAGAGCCAAATCTGGGTTTGACCGGACATGCTTCTGTGTATCCGGATTTCTTCAGTCCCTTCCCAGATTGAGCAAGAATAGCTGCTGCTGTGAACGTAACACCCTCAGTCCCATAGCTCCAGAGGGACAGCTTTTCAGGACACCAAAGGTGGGCAGAGGAAGGGAAGAGGCACCAGCTGCACACAAGCAAAGGAACTGAGTACTTTTATCAACCACTCAACATCTCCCACAGTGCACTCAAACACCTGAAACTGGGGGTGGGGGGGGCTCCAGGTGATGCTTCTCTCTGAGGGACTCAGCTTGATTCAAAGCTTTTACCTTCACCAGGATAAGAATTATTTCATTGACTTCATTCCTGAAAAAAAAACAAAAAGAAAAAAGAAAGCATTTACTCCCCTCTAATGCAGTACAGGCTAGAGGTGATGAGTGACAGGAAGCCTTTTAGCATGCAGTGGGCCCTAAGTTTGATCCTTAGGACAAAACATAAGATGAAATAAAATGAAAGGAAAAAAAAGAAACAGTGCTATAACATGTGTGAAGGGAATCACAGTGGTGACTCAGGACCTGAAACAGAAGCCTCACCTGTCAGTATTTAAAGTCACATAGAATACAAAGACGCTGTTCCCTTTACATCACTGGGCAAAGTGCTGGTCAATCCCTAAGGCACAGTGACACTAGCTATCATGGCACACTAAAACATGTACATGCTCTGGTGCTGCTGGCGTGAACAAATGTGTGCTGACAGTTCCATAAAAGCATAACACACAGAGCTGTGCACATTACACAACACTCAACACTGACTACATTATTCATTTTTGTATTCACCACACATGCACATGTACACTGCAGCCTATCAGTAGCACCCTGTATCATATCTATTTGCATAAGCATATGGTAGTACTGGCACGGACATAAAACAGCCCAACGATGTATTTCTTAGACTGACCCCAGTTCCATATACCTCTTGATTGTAATTGCAAAGTCCAAATACAGAGTATCCTGGAAAAGTTGAATGTGAATGGCAATAAAAAGCAGAATAGAGAGCAAGCCTGTCACCAAGGTCTCCACATTGCTGTGCTGCCAGCTGGGTGGAACAGCCACACCAAGACACTTCATCAACACTGCAGAGGGATTCTGGGCATGTGCCACAATGCCTGGTTTGGGAGGACTTGGATTGAACCCAGGGCCTTGTGCTGCTAGGCAAATACTCTGCCAAACTAGCTACATCCCTAGACCCAGACTTCAAAAGTTATAGTAAAAGTACAAATCTTCCTTAAAGTTGGTGAAAGCATTCAAAATCCTTTAAGTATGCTTTGGAGATGAGAAATTAAATGAGCATTACCTGAATTCACCTGTGGACAATTTATGTGCAGACTGCAGTAAAAACTGAATGAAGTTTTCTAGCTGGGGAATGGATGTCCTCATAGCAGAGTCCTCAAACCATTCTTCTGGTAGACAAGCTGCTATCTGTGAAGACACATGGCAGGTTTACAACACCCAGAGCAAAGAAACTTTGAGATTCTCTTTCCTGTATCAGAGGTAACTTGACATTAAAAAGATCACTCTTCAGGGGCTGGAGAGAAGGCTCAGTGGGCACCAGCACTGGATGCTCTTCAGAGGTTTGATTCCCAGAATCCATATGACAGCACACAAGAATCTGTAACTCCAGTTCCAAGGGAGTTGATGTCCCCTTCTGCCCTCAGGCACTGCACATTCCACTACAAATATGCAAGCAGGCACAACACCCTTACTATAAAATAAGTGAAATGAGGGGGGGAAAGTCACTTGATTACAAAAAACTCTCATTGCTAAAAGCATAAAGCAGATTGAATCTGCTCTGTGCATTGCTTAGCGATGCTTACAATTCCACAATCTACAAGAACATTTAAGAGAAGGAATTAACAGGTGATTCTAAATAAGTTGAATGGAAGGAAACTAATGATAAATTGTCCTTTACCAGTGTGCCTTCTGTGTCCATGGAGGTCAAAGAGACCAATGCAGTGCACACAAAACAACAAAATCAATCCTCCAAAAATAACACAATTTGGGAGAAAGACAGAAAAATGTTGAAAAAAAGCACTTCCTCATAGCTACAAGAAGGAAAATGGGAGAGGAAAACGTGGAGTTCTGGGCATTCACCAGGCCACTGGTAAAATTAAGACTAGCATCTGCAGAAAGGAGACAGCAAAAGCACCACACACGCACTGCAAGGGAATACAAGTTCTGGAAAGCATCTTATTGAATAAACCTGGTATCAGCCTTAAAACAGTTGTCAAAAATGACGGTAAAGGGTTTGACCTGGGTTCGGTGGCAGTTATCTGTAATTCTAGTATTTGAGAGGCCTGAGGCAGAAAGGGATCAGAGTTCAAAGCCAGCCAGCTTCGGCAGCACAGACAGATCCTGTCTTAAAACAATGAATGTGTAGGTAGCTGCAGAACAAGTGTTTAAAGCATGAGGGACTCTGACTCAGCAGCACCACCATCAACAAAAGCAATACAAAGTAAATGAAAGCCAGGAAAACAGACTTACTGTATTGTTCATTAATTATTCAGAAAAAATGCAGATATGACGGCAGAAGGCAGAAGCATGAAGATTTGCTTGTCAAATTGTTCCCCAAAGTCTTGGAACCAGTCTCCACTGACTTGGAACTTACTGTCATTTGTCCCTGAATTCCAGTGCTTAGATATCTCGTGGAGCCAGCAAGCCTGTCCATATATCAAGTGGGACCACATTCTGCTGGCCCGTGGCCTGCTTCTCAAACCCTACTGTGGAGAAGCTGTGTACACACTTTACAGTCAACCTGAAAACATTCTACACACAGAATGATTTAAACTTAAGAACTATGATAATGATGGGGTTACAGATGTGCTTCCGAGCCTGGCTCCCTAAGTACCACTTAATACCACTTTTTGCCTTATGGGCAGATGAACAATTTTGAGGACATTTAGGTATTGTAGTGTTTTGAATAAACCATATTTGAAAATTTGGACACTTGGTCCCTCAGCTGATGGCATTGCTTAGGGAGGTTACAGAACCTGTGGAGGTGGAGCCTTACCGGAGGAAGTCTATCACTGGTGCCGGGTGGGGTTTGAGAGTTCACACAGCCTGGCCCCACTTCCCATTGGCTTTGTTTTGTCTGTGGCTGAAGATGTGACCTCTCAGTATCGCCCCTCTGCCAGGCCTTCCCCTCTATTAGACTCTCCCTTTGCAACTATAACCCCAAATAAACCCACTCTATCCTTTGTAAGTGTCCTTTGGTCTGGTGTTTTACTGCAGCAACACAAAAGTAACTAATACAGGTAGTTTGGGATATCTCCACTAGCTAATGCTATAATCTTAAAATCTGTATGTTCAACTTTGCTTTTTGTCCTAGGATAAATTCTTACAAGTCAAAGTTTAAAACTTTAAACAGTGTCCAGCTGTATTGCTACTGTCAGTAAGTACAGGACCTATTTTCCAGAACCTGTGCCCCTCACCCTGCAGGACACAAGGCTTCTAAGCCCCAGAATGGTAGCAGCCCAGGTTTACACCACAACTGGGGATTTTAGTTAAATACTAGCAGCAAAAGCCACACACTTCTGCACTGCTGGTTGTGCAGGCGTCTTCACAGCACGGTAACGAGCAGTTCTCTGTTCTCTATTGGTGCTGTCACTCTTTGTCACGTTTGCAGGTAGTTTTCCATACCCATTTGTTATGATTTGACTTGTATACTTTGGGGTCATTTCCAGGAAGAAATCTTTGAATTTGCTACTGGCTTGCCAAGACTTTTTAAATCTGGTGTAGATTTTAATCTTACGCGTTACAGCTTCTTTCCTAGTTTCTGACATAGTTCTTTAACTGTTTTTAATTTTCCTCTCTTCCTTTCCTTTTTTCCCTGCCTCCCTTCTTTCTTGGTTTGTCTTGAACTCATGATCGTCCTGCCTGAGCCTCTCAAGTACTGAGACTACAGGAGTGTCCAGACCACATTGGACTCCTGGCATCATTTACTAAATATTTTCTCTACTACTGCTGTTTCAAACCAGAATACTGTTTCTTTTATCAGAGCAGCTTCTGGGTTCTCCTCTGCTAAAATGATTTGTTTAATCACGTGCAAGCTCCACAATTTTAATTATTTTGTTATAATACAATATAGATTTCAATAATTAAATCTTTTAAGATTCATTCATGTTTGTGTGCAAGTTCCTTGAAGAAGCCAGAAGAGGGCATTGGATTCCTCATCAGTGCTGAAGTTACAGGAGTTGTGAGATGCCCAATGTGGAAGGAACTATGAGCTAATAAACTCAAGAGCAGTATGCAATCTTAGCCACCTAGACACCTCTCCAGGCCTACTACCTAAATCTCTGCTGTTGCTGTTTTAAGAGGGTCTCACCTTGTAGCCCAGGTTGGCCTGGAGTTTGCAACATTTCTACCTCAGCTTCTTTAGTAATGGAGTTAAGAGATGTAAGTCACTGTACTGAGATTTATATACATTAATGACATAATTAGAATTGACTTCTATACAGCTTACCTGGCTGCACTTTTTAACAGCATCTGGTCCAGGAATGGCATTACTAAGAGCAATAATAAGATAGCGATTCAGCAGCTTCCCCAGTCCTAGATCTTGCAAGGTATCATCTGGGAGAAGCCCATTCCAAAGAAGAATATTGCGGAAGAGCTAAAAGAAAATACCAAGTAATTATGTGTGTTTTCCCTAGAAACTATAATGGTAAATAAAGAACTGGTCAAACTTCCCCACTCACTCGTTGGCCCTGTTGTAAATGTCAGCTTTGGAAAACATCCCCAAGTAAATACCTGATTCTCACCTCCATGTATTTGCTCATCCTATTTTCATTTTTAGGGTGACCAACCCCAATAAGTCTCATGTAACTCCAGCGGAGCCTCTCTGGATCAGTGTCCCACTTAACCCACTGGGGCTACTAAGTAAGAGTGTGGGTTGCCAAGATCAGAAAGCACCGACAAGGCTGGTGCCAGTGTTAACAATGTGTGCGGCTGGAGACCTGGCAATGCCAAGAACCTCACTGCTGATACGTAAAACAAGACAACCTAAGAGTCTGCTGATAACAGGAGTCAAGTACCCAATATAAGACCTACAATAAATACTTGTATTTAGAGGGCTGAATCTAGAGATTTCTGTGAATGTGAGAATTCTGAGTTTTCTTCCAGTATTCTGAGTGCTGAATGACATTTGGGTTAGTAACATGCCACACTTTACTGCCATTTACAGCACTGACTGTCCTGGAAAGCATCTTCCCTGACCTAGCCAGGACACATATTCGCTTACTGCACTGAAACATTTATGTACTAATTCTCAAACACAACGGGCATCTTTACTACCCCCTAACCCTTTATCATGGCATTTAATATTCATTTTCATTCTTGGGTTGAGGCACAAAGGTTCGCAGCTCATTAAAAGGTGAATCTGAAGACTCCCACTCCATTCCCCAGGCTCTATCCTAGTCTCCTGAGAACTTGTCACTCATGTATATGTCACCTGTACTGTGTTACATCTCCACAGTTCTGTGTGTTTTACTACATCCAAAACAGATTTCAGGGTCTCTCCCAAGCCTGTTCTTCCTGAATCTCCTGCAATGTCTAAGAATGATATAAGCACAGGTGCCAACATCAGGCACCTGGCTATGATAAGCCTTGTGTCCTCACATGGCATTAGTCAGCTGTGAAATCCTTTTAGTGTCATTTGAACTCATCTCCTTGTCATTTCTACCTCCACTGACTCGCTTTGGCTTTAACTTTAGCTTTCTGACCAGGGGGTAGCCAGGTATGACCTGAGATTAAATTCAACCCAATGCTTCTTCTGTAGGGTCTATGAGACGAAAACTGCTTTTACATTTTTAAAGGACATTTAGAAATACTAAAACACAAAACAGAATAAGGCTGGGCATGGTGGCACATACCTGTAGCTCCAGGACACAGAGGACACAGGAGGCAGAGGCAGGAAGGCCTGTTATGGAGCAGAAGACCAGCTTGGTCTCCATAGCAAGGACCAGGCCAGCCAGGACTCTATAGTGAGACTATGTCTCAAAAAAAATAAAACAAACCCTACCCAGAATATTTTTTTTTGTTGTTGTTTTTATGAGACAGGGTTTCTCTGTATTGTTTTGGAGGCTATCGGTCCAGCCTGGCCTCGAACTCACAGAGATCTGCCTGCCTCTGCCTCCCGAGTGCTGGGATTAAAGGCGTGCACCACCATCGCCCGGCTTACCCAGAATATTTTTAATATGTGAAAATTATATGATGTTCAAAGTTCAGTGTTGATATGCACAGTTTATCCAAACAGCAAGTTCATTTGCTTACATACTGACAGCCTATTAGTGTTTTTGTACTGTAGTGAATGTCAGAGTGGAATTCAACACACACTGTATGGCTGCAAAGATTAATATAGATACATTTTAAAAATAGTATTCTGCTTACCTTTAGAGCTCCCCAGAACTGTCTTTCTTGGAACTTTGAATGTGGTGACATTTTTCCTTCTTCAGAACTAATTTGAAACAAGTGAGGAGGAGGGGAGAAGAAAAGGAAGAAGAGGGGAGAAGAAGAGGAGATATAAAGGTCTCTTTCAGAATAAAACCACAAAAACTACGACTTTTTCTTGTTTGCTTTTGTTTTGAATTCTGTGTATATCTGAATGTCTGTGTGTGGTTTGTGCACATGAGTACAAAGTGCACTGCCTGCAGAGGTTACAAGAGGCCACTGGAGTCCCTAGAGTTGGAATTACAGGCATCTGTGAGCTGCCAACCTGGGTGCTGGGAATCAAACTCTAGTCCTCTGGAAGAGCATCACACTCTTAATCACCACCCCCTATTGTTTAGTTTTAATTAAGCAACTAAACAACCTGAGTGAAAAATGAACCAAGGTACTCTGATGGTATCTACCAAGAATTACAAATGTATCACACTCAGCCAATGGTGAGTTTCTGCAAGTGTGTTTTGTAGATATGATTGCCTTTGCACAGAATGGTATTTATTTGCCAGTTTGCTTATAACCTCATTGTTGGTAAGAGACTACCACCCCCATGCCGGTCAGTTACAGGGCACCTACATGCCTGTCGGACAGTTGAAAAGAAAATGAAGAAAGTTGCTTACATGGTGACATGCAATAACTTAACAATGTACTAGTGAAAAAAGTACAAAATTTCTTGTATCTGCTTATAATATACTTCATTTTATATAGAGGGGGGAGATGAGATTATAGCATATACAAGATAAATGGCAAAATCTGCAGTCAGAAATCAGGGTAAGAGTAAATAAAACTCATATTGGGGAACTAGAGAAATAGTCCAGCAGTGAAGAGCACTTGCAGTTCCTGCAGAGGACATTGTTCAGTTACTGGTTTACATCTGCCTGTAATTCAGCTTCAGGGGATCCAATGATCTCTTCACTCATGAGGCACATATGTGGTACACACATACACACAGGCAAATGCTCATAGTATATAAATTTTAAAAACAAAACACCTTTTTCATTTTAAAGACTCACTTGATTTTAGTCAAAAGGCTCAGAAGCTATTGCTTTAAATAAAAATAAACCACTCACATATTTTGAACCATGTGAATGTATTAGTTACCTATAAGTATAAAAACAAAACTTACTGGAGCATAATTTTTATTTGCAGATACTTCTTCCTTACTCAAATCAGGAATCTCCAAGAACACCCCCACCTTCCCCAACTTCCATCTTGGGAGTATTATTGGGTAGCTACAGTTCACAAATCATCACTACCAAGAAGGGTTTCTTGGCAAGTATAAGACCATGAATCAATTCCTGTGTTTCCTAAGATTAAAGAGAGTTCACAGCCACATCCAGGATGCTCTAGGCTGTGCTATGCTTCCTCTGTACATGCCCCTGCTCTGTTCTGAACACTGTCTTCATCATCCTGCCATCCTGTGGGGTAGCTACTGATTTCTCCCTGATGATAATGACACAGCAAGGCCCCGGGGTCAAACAACCAAGAAATGGTGGAGCTAAGAATCCATGTTCTTAACTTCTCTAGGCTACAACCTCCTGACACTAGGGTAAACAAGAAACACTCAAGTGCTAAGTTTCTTTTGTAGTACACAGGAGATTTACAGAAATGTTTGTGGAAATCTGTTTGCATCTTAAAACAGTATGTACATTAGTTTAGAAAAGAATAGTGTCTTCTTCATTACATCTTTAAACAAATCTGTATTCTTTCTAGGCTAGACAGGATGGCACATGCCTCTAATTCCAGTATTTGGGAAGGGGAAGCAGGAACATGCACAGAATGATGTTCAAGATCATTGTCAACTTTGTAGAAAGTTCAAGGATAGCGTGAACTATATCAGGCTGTGTCTTATACAACCCCATTTCCCCCAAAAGAAAAGCTATTTCCAATAGTGTAAAAACTAGGAGATCTTACCTCTTTGGATATAGAGGAATAAAAACATCATCTTCTATTGACTTCTTAATTCTTCCAACAACAGATTTAAGTAAATCCTATTTAAAAATTTGGAAAGCATTAGCATGCCAGAATTGGAAATATAGTAACCAAATCAAATAATTTTAATAGTGTAAATTGGTCTCCAATCTGAGCCAACTGGCACAATACTGTAAGAAATTTAGGAGATGCATGTGGCTGTCACTGAATCACTTTCACTGCTATACCGCATTTTGTTGCATGAACACTACTCATTAGACACTTAATGGTTTCCTATTAAGGGGTCCATTATGCTTAATGATGCTATAAAATACCTAGCAGAAGTCTCTTAGTATATATATAAGGATAGTTTAAATAGGTATATACACTGAAATGGAATTGCTGGAATATAGCTTATGACCTTGTATTCAACTTTGTACTGAATGATAAACTAAGACGGCAGTATCTGAGACTAGAAACCCAGTGTCTAGTGAGATTATAGACCCTAGGAGCAGCCTCCCCACTATGTAAGTTAATTGAGGTGGCATCAATATGCAGCCTACATATTTATGTTTATACCCACAGACAAATGCTACTCATTCTTAACTAGAGAAGCTTGTCTTTATGGTAAATCTGAGTGAATGCTGAGACCCATGTGCTCAGCCCCAAATACGACATTTCTACCACTCCCTAATTCAAGGCAAAAGGAATGCTGTAGAAGAGAAAATGGAAAGAATGTAAAGGGAGAAGAGATAGGAAATGTTATCTTCAGGACTTGGCACAGCCATGGCAAACATGAGATCTGAGCAGCGGTGGCAGTCTGCGCAAGACTGGGATGCCAAGAGTCAATCATGGATTGGGGAGGTCATGAGGTCCTTTCCTTCTGATTCCTGCAAGCCTTTCATACAGTGTAGGTGTGGGGCTTTGTTGGCTTGCCTATGTCCTTTGACACAGTAAATACACATTGGATAGTTCATTCGGTTTGTGTATCAACAATTACAAATGATGCAAACATTGAATTCAGTAACTCACTTAAGGACATTATATTATATTCATTTATTGGATGAAACAGTAGCTAAAGCCTCTGACAACAGCAATATATATAAACACTCAGATCCATTAGGATAACTGAGAATAAAGGCTGAGTGAAAATATCCAGCCCTAATTATCACTATCTCAAGATGAAGAGATGATGGGACTTTAAAATATTCCATGTATCAGCAACACTTCTATAGTGACATATTATTCTCATTCTTAGAAAGATTTTAATTTTGAAAACTGAAATTGGCTTACAGTACCAATAAAAAGATGCTGTATGTAACACAAACTGTTATATACCAAGAATATTGTCCATAAATGTACAATTTAGGCAAATGTATTTTTCTATAAAGGCATACTGAACGAAATGGAATTTTATTTTTTTTCTACTTAATTATAAGTACATATACTTTAAAAGCCCCATGTCAATACTTACAACATCAAAAAAAAAAACCCTCAAATTTTATTTTACCCCACCTTTTAAATACTTTCAATTCTGGCTTAAAAATAAGGATCACTTTCTAGGTAATATCCAAACAATAGAATCTGAGCTCATATAAATTATTTTATTTACTTTTTGTGGTATTGGGGATTGAACTCAAGATCTCACAAATACTAGGCAAGCGCTCTACCATTGACCTAAAGCCCAAATCTTCAGAAATCATTACCTGTTTGCTTTTACTAACTTCATTTTCAGAAGCCGACTGTTCAAAAAGCAGTCTGCAGTGCACTGTTAAACTTCTTGTCTGTGAGGTTGACAGGGGATCCCAAATGAACTCTATAAAATCTGAAACACATTTCCATGGTTACACAAGTTACTAGATCGCTTGCTTCTCATGTACAAATACCCTGTTCCACTCTTTACTGAGGTTGAATCCATGGCCAAATCATTACACTTCCTATTTACATATAATTTCTAATCATTACCACTTCCTCTTTGCATATACCCTCAATTTCTTCGTCCTCCTTGGGTTTTGCTACGCCTGTCAGGTTACCCTATAAGCCTAGCTGAATTACTAACTGTGTCTGCAATCTGCAGCTAAAATGTAGCTTTAAAGAAAGGTGTTTCACACTGATCTCCCAAAATTCAAGTGAGCCTGCATGTCAGGCAGGAATTGCTTTCCCGGGCCTTCTCACTTGCCTGGCTAACTCTCCTGGTTCTCACTTCAGTTGAAGGATCTCTCTACTTTCTTCCTCTCCCTACCCTCGTGAGTATGGATACATGTTCATGTGTGTGAGTACTTGATTGTGTGCGTGCATGTGTGCATGCATGCTTGCCTGTGTGCGCTTACCAGGTTTTTATGTAGGTTCTGGGGATCTGAACTCTGGTCCTCACTATTGAGTGCAAGAGTTTCAAACAGTGCACTATCTCTTCAGCTCCGACAATCCCTAACATCTTCTCAGTACTGTCGACCATTCTCTTTCCTTTTACAACAAAATTCCTCAAAGTACTGTCTACATGTCTCTCTGCTATTTCTTTCTGGAATCCTCTCAATCAGGCCTTGGGACTCTCCACATAGTGGTGAGTGCATCTTTCAAGTTAAACAGGACATCTGCATAGCCAACTCCAAAGACTGATGTTAATTTCTCCCTGGAAATACTTTCTTTGCTTGGATTTTGGGACACTGTTCTCCTTGTATCCTACTCTGGACTTTGCTGGGTACTTGTCATTTATGTGACTTTTAAAGGACCTTAGAACTCAGTTCCTTTCCTTCTCATTCCTTACTTCACATCACTTCGTGGCATTAAGTGCCATCAAAACACAGCTACCTCCTGCCTGACACTCCGCTTAGTGGCAGGCGCCCAGTGCAGCACAGCCCACCTGACACTCCGCTTAGTGGCAGGCGCCCAGTGCAGCACAGCCCACCAAAGCACTGCTCATCTCCTTTACTCTAAACCGCCTACTTCAGAGTCCCAAGTCAGGAAAAGGCAACTGAGTCAAAACTGTGGGACCATTCTTAATGTCCTCCTGCTCCCCTGCCCCACAATAGACCCTTCGGCACACACTGGGAGTGCTGTCTCCAGAACACAGAATCAACCGCTAGCGGCCTGGCCACGCTCATCTCTTTACTAAGCTCCCTAGTCATGGGATGGCCAGCTCACGCAGAAGAGTTTGGACTTTTAAAAATCACCGTTCAAAGGGAATGACAATCTTCAAAGTTCAATCAAATTAAACTCATTCTCCGGAGTATGGTAAAAAGATTCTGACTTTAGGAAAAGAAGCCTTTAAGGACAGAAGTTAGGATCAGTAGCTGCTAGTAGCAAGTGCACGTGAATTGTTGGGCTATCAAAGAAGGAGAAACGGAGAGGAGATGTAAGAAAAGGGAGGGAATATATGAAACACGTATGAAAAGTGTGCCACTATTGACAAAGAGGCACAAATGACTTAGTGTGCTACCACTACTAGTGTGGACAGCCAACGTTTGTACAAATAAGTGTTTTCCAACCAGGTTAACTACATTTGAAACCTTCACTGCATACAGCATTCCCTGTGTTTCCAAACTTCTCAGAGGATATTTGTGATTATAACAGAATCAAGATTACCTGTAAGGCGAGGAACAACTGTCTTGTTGATGACAGCGGACAAAATTTTTTTATCAGAATCATCGTCCTTCCTTGTATCTTCCGTGCTGCCATCCATAAACTCTGTTATGGATGTGAACCAGGGCATCTGGTTTAGAGCCATGGAGTCCAACTGTAAGACGAGGTTATAAGAGTTATACATTCTTAAACATGTGTTTTGTAAGGTAACTTTTCCCCCAAATTCCTAGAACTTTTCTAAAGGTCAGAGAGAATAATCACTTTGATTTTAACAGTGTAAGCATCACTAGACCACTAAGCAAAGTAAGGCAGGATGGCATGATGCAAAGCATCGAGGAAGAGTAACTAAAAACTGTGCTCTATGCATTCATCCACACAACACAAATGCAGCCAAGACCCACCGAGTGCCAGGACATCCAGAGACCAGCAATGGCAGCAGCTTACAGTGAAAACACATGGATGATATACGAGTTAGGCATTTGGAATCACCATGAGATTTACTGATAAAACTCATTCATCTATCCAAGCAAAACTTACTCCAGTCCTTTCATTTCTCTTAAGAATAAATGTGTGATCTGCATGTGGCTTAGCTTACTAACCAATTAGCAAACAGCAGATGGCTGTTACTACGAGTGGATGAATGAAATATCCTGAATGGTTGACTTGACCCCAGGTGCTGCCCACACAACTCCCTACAGTTCCTGAGAAATGACCTTGCTCTATTCTGAGAAGTGCTGTGGTCCTATGGAAGCCTGCAGACAGACGATTAAGACCAAGGAAGGAACACTGCATCATTTACTCTCCCTGAAAGCTTTCCTTATAGAGCTTCACTCTCCAGTATGCAGGATCCAGGCCTTGGGCTGTCTTCACATATGGGGGGGTTAGAGCTACTCTGTATTTTACTAATTCTTACTTGGTAATGGTGCTTATAGTCCAGGACCTCCTTTGCTAGGCTAACCCTGAACTTGAGTTGTATCAATAGTCTTCTACATTTCATTCTTCTTCCAAGTGAGCTACTTTTAGTAGCTTCCTAAGACATTACTTTCAAGTCCCCGAGATGACTCAGCAGGTAAAGGCACCTGCTACCAAGACTGACAGCCTAAGTTGGATCCTTGGAACTCACATAACAGAGAGAACCAATACCCATACAAGCATGCCACGGCATGTGTGCACCTCAAGGCACACACAAATAAATGTAATAAAACATTTTTTAAAACTCCACATTACCTCCATATATGACTTTTCACATTACTTTGAAAGACCAGCTCTCAACACTGAAACTAGGTTTGAAGGCCAGTGTACTCACCCCTGAACTGGCACCCCCCTTTTCAGGGAAGTATCCCCCTCGTGAAATCCTGCACACTCCTAAGGCCTCACTTACATGCCTCCTCCTCAATGTGTTCTGCTAACCAACTCTTCCCAGTTTGTCATCTCCGACTTCATAATCCTTGGAAAAGGTTTTTAAGTCAAATTTACCAAACCTATATGCTACCTAATTCTAGGGAAATTTTACACATTATGAAAGCATTAAAAATATGTTTGAATTACTGATGTTTGGTCTTACTATGCTTTGAAATCAAGCAAGATGGCAGGGGACATAGCTCAATGGTTCACTGATTGTTTAGTATACACAAGCCTTGCGTTTCACCCCAACATCACAAAAAAGGAAAAATCATGTTAAGAGTCCTGAGGAATGTAGTTTAGAGTATACATTTCTGGATAGCTGTTCCAAGGCTCTAAATATTTCTTACAACTGTAAGGGTAAACGGTTTTGTTTTTATTTTTTAATGCTATTCATTTACTTGTGTGCCTGTGGGGGAGGGGAGGGACACAGAGTACAACTTGTGGAATTTAGTTCTCTCCTTCCATCACATGGGTTCCAGAGTCTGAACTCAGGTCATAAGCCTTGGCAGCAAGCACCTTTACCTGCTAAGCCATCTTGCCAGGCTGAAGTTTCCATATTTTATAGTTAGCCTGATGGCCAGGGCACACAAAAGGCTGACATGACCAGGACAGTCACATAGTAAGCACTGATACCTTCAGAGGATTCCAATCAAGCAACTGTACTCGTATCAGGGGACTTAAAAGCTTTGGTAAGCAGAAACCAACGAAGGCTTCGTAGTAGGAATCAGGAAACTTTTCTCGCCACTGCTGAAATTTCAATAAAATATTCTGGACGTTACAAAAATCATCATGCACATCTTCAAAAACTCTCTTACAATCTTGTAAAATGTCACCTGCAAACAAAGTAAGTCTCTTTATGTCATGCGTTTTAAGGCTACTTCCTTACCAACAGTTAGTTATGACTTACTATTTAACCAACGGGGCTGTACACTTCATTTTTTTATACATTCATCTTATTTAAAAAGTCACTTTAGTAACAAAAGTGATAATATGGACACTAATCAAGCCTACCATGTATCTGAGTCCATGGCTATATGCCAAAATATCATACATTTCTTTTTTTCATTTCATTACCATAGCCGTCTTCCCTTTAAGGTAGATAAAACCCACTGATTTAAATAAAACAAGTAAGCAAAGCGCACTGAACTGAGGCGGGCAAGAACAAAAGCCCCTTTCCACTGAGTCTAGTGAGTAGCAAAGCCCAGAATCTTTGAGCTGCACTATGAACCTTCTTGGGTCACCTCTCAGCAGCGCACAGACATGGGAGAAAAGCTGAACCAACTGTACTCAGGCACAGAGTTAGAACCCAGAATTCACAAAGAACCACAGACATTAAAAACTAAGGAAATAAAACTGCCAATCAACAAATGAGCTAATAACTGAACACTTTCAAAGGAAACACAATGGCTAATAATTTGAAAGCTGCTCAACATCCCTAGTCATCAGGGAAGCACAAATTAAAACTACTTTCAGATCCTGCCTCACTCTAGACAGAGAGGCCATTAAGAACCCAACAGTAAATGTTGGAGATGATATGGGGAAAGAGGAACCTTATTCATGGCCAATGGGAGTGAAAACTAACAAAGCCATAAGGCAATCAGTTTGGAGTTCCTTAAAAAAATTAAAGAATCAATGACCCAGCTCTTTCGCTCATAAGCACATACCCAGACAACCCTATACCTTATCATAGAGATATCTGCTCATCTTTGTCTTTTGATGCTCTCTAAGACAGGAAATGGAACCAACCAAGACGTTCATCAACACATGAGCTGATAGTGAGAAACTGGTACATATATAGCATGGAATACTATTCAGTAAAGAAAAATGAAATCACAAAATCTGTAGGAAAATGGATGGACTTAGAATATAAAATATTGAGAGAGGTCACCTAATCTCAGAAAGAAAAACACTTCCTATTCTTCCTCTTATGCAGAAGGTAGTCTATATATGGAAACAAAGTAAGTGGAAGTACAGTGTAGCATGTAGAAAGGAGAACAAGAAGGGTAATATTAGGGGATACAAAACAGGTAAAGGGTATATAGTCATGAAAGGATCTAAAGCTACTTGCTTCTCTAGTTTCAGTTCTGCCATAGCACTTTCCTGTGTGTGTGTGTGTGTGTGTGTGTGTGTGTGTGTGTGTGTGTGTATTCACAGGCATGGTGGACAGGTAAATAAAAGTGTAGTGGCAAGAATGATGAGCCCAAGTATTAGTATCTCACTCTTAACTCAAGATCCAACATCTTTCAACACTACTATGAGAACCCTCCAAAGGTTGTGTGGGACAGCACTGCTCTAGGACAGTGGGTCCTTCTTAGTCTGTCCAACAGGATAAACTTCTGTTACCAACCTGGGAAAACAAAATGTAACTGATAATGAAAGTGCACAACCCCAAGGAGGCTCCAGGCTAACTATGGAGTTCACTGAGATGCATATTTGGGAACTTGGCAAATGTGTTTTGAGGATTTAATTTAATGTAGCTTCATGATACTTTTAATCTGAGTTCATTACAATAAAGTGGTATTTTTAAAAGTGGTTTTATTAAATTAGTTGTTTCAAATTAAAATTGTTTACAAATGAGGAAAGCAATGCAGCCAATATGCTCTCTTGTGTGACCCAGGAGGCTGGAGAGAGCCTGCTGGTACCAGAGCACTTGTATCACCATTCTCTGAGGCAGAAGTCTGATGCAGAAAGTGTTTGCTTGAATTTTCCTGTCTTAGTAATATGGATTTAAAGACAACTACAATGCTGGGTGGTGGTGGTGGTGCATGCATTTAATCCTAGCACTTGGGAGGCAGACACAGGTGAATCTCTGTGAGTTTGAGGCCAGACTGGTCTATAGAGCTCCAAAGCTACACAGAGAAACCCTGTCTTGAAAGACCAAAAAAAGAAAAGAAAAGAAAAGGAAAGAAAAAAAAACTACTCTCAACAAAGCTTTCCTCACTATTTCAACACTTCAAAATAGGTTAGACAATTGACCTTGGCGTTTCTGGAAGTTGGTCATCTGGGCAGGAGACAGCTCATCATCACTAGAAGTCCCCTCCTGATGGTCACAGTTGCCAGAGAGCACCCTTGCTTGTCTTCTCTGCATCCTGCATTGTGCAATAAAGTAAGCCAAAAGCAAACAGCTCTTGTGGAAAATACTTAAAACAAAAAAAGTACTGACACCATTTTATGTAACTATTTCAGACACTTTGCTTTCTTAGCTTCTTTGGTTTTTATGTTCAATTCAGATTATTCTCTGAATGGAAAGGAAGTGCATGCAACTAGTTAGAAGTAGTTTCTAGTTTAAAGGGATCCATCTAGCAAAGGCCACCTCACCAGTACTGCCCTGAGTTCGTTTGTCTCTAGAGCTGTGAGGCCAGCCAAACTCAGCTTTGGTTTTACTACAGTCTTGAGAATCAGCATGTTAGGTGGGGTGACTGTCTCATACAGCTAATTATACTGAAACAGTGAAACTGCTCAGTGTGTTGTCTTCACTTTATACAGGTACCTTCGAGCTTCAATCTCTTCTAAAATCCGTTGATCCTTTTCATCTAGAGCCAAGTTTCCATTTGCTGATGTCTCAGCTTTACCTGTTAAATGACAAAATTAGCTTTTTACTACAGCATCAAAATAGTGAATCACTGAAGCTATAGGTAATATCGTGTGTGTGTGTGTGTGTGTGTGTACAGATAAGAACACAAAATGTGCTCAAAATGTACATTTTGTTATGCAATGAATTTAAATGTCTATTACCTATCAGTATTAACAGCCATCAAGCCCACTGGCCTAAACATACGTACCTTGCTGATGTTTGCCTTTTAGCACACAGCAGCTTTCTTTTCTCTCATTCTTTTATTTTTTTTCTTTTCAAGCAATTTACACCAATTTTTGCTTCCACAGTCATATACCAGAGATATTTACACTGCCGGCATCTTACTTATACTATGTATGGCTTGCTCCTACTGTTAGCATGTTCCACTGTTTACAAATGACCAAATATGAGAACTTGACAGTAAAGTGTCACCCACACGGGATCTCATTCCCCAAAGCACCTAAAGCCAAGATGCTATGTGACTGCAGTGTGGTTTGAGGACGTGGAATGGCCATTCCTCTCCTACGCTGCTGAGACCCACCCGCCTGCATAGGCCTTCATATCGAGCTGGACTGCTGGAAAGTTGTTTCCAACCACTCTGCTCATTTAATGGTATATAAATACTCAGTGGGCTGAGGAGGTGGTCCAGCAGTCAAGAGCACTGACTGATTTTCCAGAAGACCAGGGTTCAGTTCCAAGCACCCCCACGGCAGCTCATGCCTGTAATGCCAGTCCTAGGGGATCGGACATTCTTTTGAACTCTGAACACTCCTGGCACACATGTGATGTACATATACTCATATACACAAACCTAGAAAAATAAATACTTAAAGACAAATTCTGTCTCAAATGCTTAAGTGACTAGAAATTCTGCTATTTGATTTTTGACCTTATACAAAGTATATTGGAACTCTTTCTTGAACAGGTTTAGGTAAAGGATCAACGTGAAAATATAGAAAAGGCTTTTGTACTGGCTAGTTTTATGTCAACTTGACACAAGTTAAGATTCATCAGAGAGAAGGGAGTCCCAACTGAGAAAACGTCTCCATAAAATCTATAGACAATCCTTTCGGGTATTTTCTAATTAGTGATTGATGTGGGAGGGCCACCCCTGGGTTGGTGGTCCTGGGTTCTCTAACAAGCCATGGGGAGCAAGCCAGTAAGCAGCATCCTCCATGGCCTCTGCATCAGCGTCTACCTCCAGGCTCCTGACCTGTTTTGAGTTCTTGCCCTACCTGCTTTTGGTGATGAACTGTTATATGGAACTATGGTGAAAATAAACCCTTTCCTCCCCAACTTGCTTTTGGTCATGGTGTTTCATGACAGCAATAGAATCCTAACTAGGATAGCTGTTGTTTTTCTCTTAATTGTTTCGACCTTTTATGCTTCAGCTATCCTATTCAGAAACTGCAGTTCTGCCGCTGCCAGAAGGCCTGAAAGAGTCGAAGCCCAAGGGAATTCTGTTTTTTCAGGCACCAACTCTTTCAAAGCTACTAAGGAAACTTGCAGAAATCTCCGTCCCACTAAAGAACTCAAGATTCAAAGGCTGAGGTAGAATCCTGCTTCCCAGAGAGGCTAAATAGCAAGCAGCTCACCTACCGCATCTCCTCATGTCTCCCAAGAAGTCCTTGTGTTCATTCTCATCCCTCCTTATAAACCCTCTTCCACCTGGCTCCTCCCTACAACTTCCTGTCAGCTGGTTGCTGACCCAGCCTCCTGACCTCAGGTGAATTTTATAAACACATCTTTGCATCATTAAACAAAAGCTCCAGAGTAGAAACAAAAGTAACACACCTTAAAATAATATTCTACAATAGATAGCTTTTTTCTTTTTTAAAAACATACAGAACTAAAAATATTTTTATTCTCCAGATGGCAATCTACCTTAGCAAATAATGGAACATGAAAACCACTAACGTGATAACTGTTGCAAATAGGATGATTCACATTTTAATTCATCTTGCCTGCGTTTCAAAAGTGCTTCTGCTCGTTTAAAAAGCAATGTGTACGTAGATGACTCTAGTTCCTCAATGCTGACAATCTGAAACACAAATCACATTCTACTGTTATCAATGATGAATTATAAAAAAGTAAAAGCTATCATTTGTAATCACATGTACACATTCAATTCTTGAATAAATAATTTCAATACTAGTGCAAGTATCACAGATTATGAAACCAAATGATATGGGATCAGGAGCTTGTGCATGAGAGACAGGTAAAAGGGAGGATCCTTCTTGGAGAGAGATAGAGAAGGAAATGAGAGGTCAGGGACCAAGGAGATACCAGAAGAAGCTGGTAAAATCTGAGAAACTGAAGAATGGGGGTTGGGATGCAACTCAGTGGTAGAGTGTCTGCCTAGCATATGTAAGGTCTGGTTTGAGCCCTGGCACCAGAATAAACTTTATAAAATGGAAGAGAGTCACTAGGAACAGATGAGAGGACTCTGCTATAAAAATATGTGACTGTTTCTTCTTAAGAGCAGCTGATTCATTCGTGTCCTATAGCTGCTTCCAGGGATGTAGCTGTAGCAACTCCATGTAGGTTGTGAGAATTTTAACAGAGTAACTCAAAGATTTAGACTAAAAATATGACAGAAAGCAAGCATCAACTGACAATTAACATGTAGGGAACACACACTACTTCATGGGTAGAATAGACATGGAAAGTAGAGTTGCATTTTTTTGACTATCTTTTTTCTTTTGAAGTTCTGTGGTTTAAATAACGTACCTTGTAAAAAGGTAATAGAGGATCACAAAGTCAGGATTGAATACGCACAAAACACAATGTGTAAAGTGAAAGGTTTAAAAACCTATAGCGTAAAAAATTTTTAAAATCCAAGTATTTAAAAAACTCACAAAAAAACTGGTAAATTTTAGATCAAATTGGTTAAACATTAAAAATTATAAATTGGGCTGGAGAGATGGCTCGGTGGTTAAGAGCACTGGTTGCTCTTCCAAGGACCCCAGTTCAGTTCCCAGCACCCATATGGCAGCTCACAACCATCTGAAACTTAAGTTCCTGGAATCTGTTGCTCTTTTCTATACTCCAGACACCAAATACATGTGCTGCACAGACATACATACAGGCAAAAACACTCATATAAATTAAATAAAAAATGTTTGAAACCTTAAAGATCTGTTTAAATTCTAAAAGCAAAGAAGAAAAAAAAAATCTCCCCTAGAACCAAGATGTGAACAGAGCAAAGGACTCAGAGAACTCACAAGAAAAAGATCCACGCAGGGCGTGGTGGCTCACACACCTGGGATCCCACAACTCGGGAGGCTGAGGCAGAATGCTCACAAGTGTGAGGCTAAGATCAGCTACACAGTAAGCTCCAAGTCAGCCGAAGCTTCAGACTAGGAGCTTGTTCACAAGCAAAACTAATCCAGCTAATAAAACGAAGACTCCCCAAATCAAAACAGACATTTTACAGATTCTATTTGTTACTAATCTAGCAAAGTAATAAATCACCATTCATTCTTGAGAACAGTTTGTCAATATGCTGCATGAACCTTAAAATTATTTATACTTTATACTTAGCAATTACTTTTATTTTCCAGTAATATGTCTTAGATGAAATTTTAACACAAAAATGTATGTATGATGCAGCCTTAATATGAGGGGCTGTGTCTAGTCATATTGCAACATGACATGCCATGTTTGGTTGATATCCCTTCGAGGCCTGCCCTTTCCTTCAGGGAAACAGAGGAGTGGATCTGGGGCAGAGGAGGTGGAGGAAGGGGCTGGGAGGAGGGAGGGGAAACTGTAGTCGGGAAGTAATATATGAGATGCATATATATGTAAAATTTTATGTAATTTACAACAGCAACTAAAAAAACCAAAAAACAAATGAAAACAAAAAACTCAAAACCCCCAAATTAACAGCCCATGTCTAACATTAAAGAGACTATGCAATACCACGTTAAAAATCTGGATGGTGGCATATTAAGTGTAATCCCAGGACTCAGGAGCCTGAGGCAGGAGGATTGTAAGTCAAGGCCACCCTGGGTTATACAGTAAAAACTTGTTGAAATCCCACCCCGCCATTCCTCTTTACATGGGTTCTCAGACTCAGGGCTCAGGTCCTCATGCTTGCTTAACACTTGGCCCGCCCAGCCATCTCTCCAGTCTGTCTTTTCTTTGCTAAAAGACCAGAATGGAGGGTTCTTGCTTCATGCATATTTATATATACCTTTTCATTTAGACAATCGATTATATTTTCTACATAAATTTTCATGCCTTTGAAGAATTTGTAGTTTAGAGTTTGATCCGATGCGTTCTCCAGGTTCTGGATTGCAGTCTTTGAACTCTTGATGTCTTCTACATATTTTTCATATTCTCTCTGGTGCGAGCGATGAGTATCTTGTAGTAATGCTAATCTAAATAAAATAAAAGTTTCATTTTTCATACCTTTCCTTTTAGGCAGTGTTCTAATGAAGATGTTTTCAAACACAACTAGGGAGAGTGATTACTATATAAACATAGATTTACTAGGTGTGTGAACCCAGGGAGATCACAATTGCCATTCTCAAAGGGAAAGGATGACCTTGAACTCCTGATCCTCCTGTCCCCCGACATTACAGGTTACGTTCCACCACGTCCATTTATAGGCTAGTTTTAAGGTACACTGACTCAGTTTTAGCCTAAGACTGATCAGAACTTACAAACTAAAGGAGCGAGTGCCACAGAAAGGCTTCTCCAGCCTTTAAGCCATATGTCTTGTTCCTAAATGTAGTGAAAAGACACGACCTGTCTGTCTAAAAGCACTTCCCTCATTTTGTGTAAATAAAAGAGAAAAGCGCCTGCCCTGTAAACATGAGAACCAGGGAGAGCTCCAGAACCACATGACAAGGTTAGCATGGTGGCACACTTGTAATTACAGCAACCCTATAGCTCTCTCTAGCTAGCTTAACCTACATGGCAGGTTCCAGGCCAGTCACCCACCCTCCCTCCATCTCCTTCTCTCTCTTTCCCTCCCCCCCCCCACACACACACCAGTGAGAGCTAAAAAAATAACATACAGCAAATATCATTAATGAATTATTTGAAGAACATTATTAGTGATAGATTTTCTTTTTCTTGTTTTTTTTTAAGTGACAGATTTTCTAAGCATATATTATGTTAAAAAGATAGCCACACAACAGGATATACATTGGCTTCTTTTTTTATAAAAAAGAAAAAATTGGGGCAATATAAAAATGCCATGTACTTCTATAAGATACACACAGTAGGCGATTTCTAGAAGAAAACATAAGAAACTGGTGGCAAGTTTCCTTGGGAAAGCCAAATTTCCTTTTGGTGTGTATCATTTTGCACTGGCCTATTAAAAAAAATTAAAATATTTTTAAAAATAAAGAACCTGGTTGAAAACAGAAAACAATAAAGTTAAAAGTAGCATTTACTCAGAGAATCTGAAACATTAATCTACATGAGTGACCCACTGTCTCTCATTCTATCACTCTCTCTGACATAATCCCAAGAAACACCAGATGGCTTCTGGTTTACACACAATTCTAGATGCAGTAGCTTTAGTTGTTTTATTCTAACTAGGAAAGCTAATTAAAACACCAGTAAATGATAATGTGTGTACTTCAGAGATAGTCTTGAATTTGCTGAAGTAATTTCACTCCACATCCCCACTCCAGAACACTCACTTAGAAGGCGGCAAGCTTTATTCTGTGGCGGGTCAGACAGTAAATATCTCAGCGTTTAGAGTCACATCATTGCTCTTGCCACTACTCAGCTCTGCGCTGTATCACCAAAGTACCCACGGGCAGTACTAGACATTCAAGCATAGCTGTGTTTCAATAAAACTTCCTTTACCAACACACGGTGGGCTGGAGTCTGCCACCCCCCAGGAATTCAGACACTAAATGCTGCACACCTTAAAATTTCAAGTATTTACTTCATACTATTACAAATTCTCTATAAAAATATCTTTAAGCAAACAGCTACAGCTGACAGATTCTGCAATGTGGTTAAGGAACTCGGTCACTTTAAAGCTGACTTACAGATACCAGGTAAGGAAAATTTGAAACTATTCTCAGGTAAGAAAAAACACATCTTAAGCTAGTGGCTCATGGGTAATGCACAAGCCTGATGCCCCGAGTTCAATTTCCAGGCCCCATGTAAAGATGGAAGGAGAGAACCGACCCCTCAGAGCTACGCTCTGCCTCCGCCCATGTGTCATGCATGTGTGCACATACACTCTGAAAAAAAAATGAAGGTATTTTTTAAAAGGTAGCAGAATTGAATGCGCCCCTTGTACCAAACTGTCACATAGGCTAATCAAACCCTGACCATCACATCTACTCTATCATAAACAGGGACTGGCAGACACTAGATTCTGAGTACATTCTATAATAAAATATTTAGAACAAAGAGCCTCTGACAGGACATGCAAAGCACAGTTACAAGGTTAGCACTATCTGCTCAGTGTAATTATCAATGCCCACAGTGTAAAAGAGAATTGTGCTTTAGGAAGGCACTGTACCAAGAGTCATAAAAATAAGCTCTTGGCCATGGTAAATTTTCCCTGTTAATGATTTTAAGAAAAAACATGCACACACAAAGCCAGATACAATCACACATGTGTACCTGTAATTCCAGCACTAAGGAGGCCAAGGCAGAAGAACCATGACTTGAAGCCAGCCACGGCCATACAGTTACACCTGAGGCTGGCCAGGGCTGCAGAATAAGACGGCAACAAACAAAATGCAACAAAGCAAAGACACATATTCACTACTATGGCAACATGTGGATGAGACTTACAACAGAGAAATAAATTAACTATAGGAACAAACATGAAATGTGTACTGTAGAAGGTGAGCATGATAACACACCGTGGAAGCACATAGAGGTTTATGTAACATAGGAACTCAGAGGATAGAAGTTCAAGGCCAGCTGGGCTACAAACCAAGATCACGTCTCTAAAGACAACATAAAACAAAATAACAAAATCCAGCAGTATAGAAAAATGCCTATAGTCATGTTAAGTTAAAAAACAAATTGTAATTACTGTTTTTAACCATGTAAGGATTATCTGCCATTAAGACCGACAAGACAAAGAAAATCTATTGTTTATATAGTAAAATAATTTTTCCTAATAAACCTATTTAATATTAATGTTTAGTAACTAAAAGAACATAGTTTTTTTTTTACTACTAATCACTGAGGACAAATTACAAAATAAACATTACTCACCTATTATTTAATTGTTTCTTTATAATTTCCAAATTTACTGGTGGAAATGAAATGGAAGTATCAAACTTCTTCAATGTTTGAGAGTCACTCTTGTGGGAAAGGTCTATGTTTTGGCCCTAAAAAAATGTGAAAAATTACTTTTTAAAAAGCACTTCATTTTCCACACAAAGGAGACTAAATAACATTTCCAAGCCTTTGCAATACCATGGTCACAATAAAACATTAAAAAAAAAATCATCAATTTTAGGATATATTAAGGTGTTTTTCTCCAGCCAGGCACTGTGGTAAATGCCTTACATCCCAGCACCCAGATAACAGAGACCAGCCTTGTCTACATGGCAAGTTCCAGGGCAGTCAGGGCTACATGGTGAGACCCTGTCTAAAGAAACAATCCTCCAGACCAAAATCAAGCAAATGAAACGAACCAACCCCAGGCTCCATCCCAACCCACCCCTGCCTTGGCAGTACTGAAGTACACCGAGGACCTGATGTATACCAGGCAAGTGCACTACCACTGAGCTATAGTTCCAGGCCCAAGTCTATTGCATTCATATGTACAGAACAAATTTTAAAATTTGGATTTCCACAAAAGTTAGTTCATGAAGTTTTAGAGCTAGATTTGCTGATTTTTCTGATACATTCTTGGGAATTCATGCAGTTCTTAAAAAAGCATGAGTAAGTAAAGCCATGGTTGCTTGGAATTTGGAACCTGGAGAGAATGCATCCTAAAAGAGTATCCTATCCTCAGTCTCTCTGGAAACCCTAGCTCATCACTACCACACTAGCTGTGTACAGCAGGTTCTCAAAGTCCACTGTTTCAGACAACGGCATGAAGACAGGAGCCACTAACTTAAGTCACTGCTCCTACTTTCCATCAAGCAAAGACGCAGAGAAGGCACGTGAAGGCAGAGGCAGGGACTGCAGTTCTGTAGTCATGGCTCCAGGAACACACAGGCCACCCAGAGTTAGGAAAAGCAGTTCTTACCTAGGGTCTCCGGAGAGGAAGCATAGTCCTGACAACTGCAAGATAGCTCAGCAGAAAAGCTGTGCATGGAGACCTGAGTTTGATCTCCAGAATTCATGTCATTGGAAAGACAGAACCAACTCTACAAAGTTACCCTCTGACCATCACACATGTATTGTGGCACGGGTGTCCCCCCACAACAATTCTTAAAAGTAAAAATAAAGTCACTGGGTGTGTGGTATGGCACGGAAGTAGTTACCTCTATGATCCTGACTGCTTTCCTCATTTGCTGTTGTTCCCAGATGTCTTGATTTTCATCTTCCTGACTCTCTTCGCTTGCTTCTTCACTTCTGATTGCTATACAATCGGAAGTCAACACATTAACACTCAGTATTTTCCCACTCTGACAACAGTACTCAGATTTGGGAGGTTACTTTCTGCAGGCTTAGCTGTAATTCACATGCCTTTCATCTTCATAATAATCCAGGATTAGGAACCAGTATTACTGTCATCTTAAAAATGAGACCAATACTCAGGCTAAATAACTGGTTGAAGCGCTGTCTTGCATTGAGAACTCAAATGCAGCCACCGGGTCTACGGCCAGCAACGCACATTACCAGCCACCTATTTTCCCATGTGCTGGGGAGAATGAAAGGTTGGTTTTTCTCATTAAAAACGTCTAATGTGGGCCACTGACAACCCTGAAGAACCCACAGGTAGGAGAGAGAAACTCCCACAAGTTGTCCTCTGACCTCCATACTTCTGTGACATTCGTTGTGCCCATACACTTACACACAACACAAAGTAAGTAAATGGGGCTAGCAAGATGGCCCAATGGGTAAAGGTGTCTGACATCAGGCTTAGTGACCTGAGTTCCATCCTGGGACCCATAACACATGATGGAAGAGAAACAACGATTGCAGTTTATCCTCTTGACCTCCACATGTGCACCCTGACCTCCGCATGCCCACACAAGCACTGACATTTACACGTGTGTGAGCTCACACGCATAAAATAAGCAAAAATCAATAAAAATTAAAGTAAATAAATAAATGTATTATTTTAAGGAAAAAGATACTTAATTCATACCTGAGAATTGAACATTTGAAAAATAGTTTCTGGGAGCCTAGGATGTTGCATAGTTGGCAGAGTTCTTGCCTAGCATGCATGAAGCCCTGAGTTCAATCCCCAGGACCTAGTAAGTCTCATGTGGTCGTGGCGGCACACACCTACAGAATCCCAGTACTTGGAAGCAGGGATAGGACACCAGAAACTCAAGTTCATCTTTGGCTACATGTTAAGTCTGAAGTCAGAGACTAGCCTGGACACATGAGACACTGCCTCAAACACAAACAAAAATTGTCGGTACAAGGAACCAGTTTTATTCTGAGGGAAACCACAGTAAGGCACACGTTACAAATGAGAAATGTGAACTTGAGCTCTGCAACTTGAGCATTACCGACAAGAGGAATGTTTCATTAGAGTAGGGAAGATCTTAGCAAAAATACCTAACCCTGTAATCTTTCACACTAACAACAAAACCTTTCTAAAAGGTGGCAATGATTGCCGACATTGCAAAAACAAGAGACTGTACAATTCTTTTACTTCTCAAAATTCAAGGAAGGGATCCAGCATTTGTAAACATCACAACACACACTCTGAGATAATGATATATGATAGGATAGAATCATATCATTTAAAAGCCATGATATTGTGGACCAAAATTGATAATAAAAATCAACATCAACACTCTTTAAAAAACATTAAGACATGTGTTGGGAATTCAGCTTGATGCTGCTTCTTTTGGGGGGGTGGGGTAAGACAGGTTCTAAGTATGTGCTAGGATTACAGGAACGAGCCATCTCGACTGTGTTACTGGGGCTCAAACCCAAAGCTTCATGTGCACTAGGCAAGACTCTGACAACTAAGCTGCATCCCCATCTCCTTAGAAATGACAGGAAATATGGTCATGAGCAAACAGAAATTTCACTATTGTAAAGAAAATGTCTTGATCTTTATATTCCAGTAAATAAATTAAACACATACATGTTTCTTCAGCCATTCTTTGTCTGAGTGTTTGAGGCTTTGGGGCAAACAGTATTCTCTTTTCACAGTCATCAGGGTCACTCACTGGGTCCTCTTCATTGCTTCTCTTACTGTCACAAGCGGTGGAGGGATGGTTTACATCCAGTGAAATGTAGTCACCCGGGGTCCTGGCCAACTCACGTTTTCTGCGGGCTTCCTGGATAAAAGCTGCATCAGGGATCTTAACTGAAACAGATGAAGAGGACAATGAAAACCGAACAGTTACAGAATGAATGCTCCTTGCATTCAAGGCAAGAAAAAGGTACCATGTTCCTAAATTTTCCACCACTTAGATAGATTCACATGACTGCAATAAATGGCTCCAAGTCCAGTCAGTAAAGGAAGAAAATTAATGTAATAGATATAAAACGCACAATGGAGAAATGAACCTAATCTAGCACTACCAGGAAATACACTGGCACCATTCCCTTGTGTCTCTTGGGAGCTGCTATCTCTCTCTCACTTCTGGAGGCTCTGTGTCAGGACAGGAACATGAAGGACCTGAGCATGGTGAGACCTTCGTGAGACAGACAGGAGCTAGCATCAGTGGCACATGGCCTGACTTAGGGAAGACTCTTGCACACCACCTCCACTTGTGGGTACCCACACACAGAGAAGTGAGAAACAGTAACAGCCCATAGCCACGCCACGTCAAGCCAGATCACGGTTCTTGTAGTGAGACCCACATGAAAAACAATGAGAAGTTAAATGTAAAGAAAATATTTTTCACCAGATAAAGGAACCTAATTAGATGACAACTTTTGTTTTTAAACATTTTCCTTTTCCTTTAGAGTTTTACATTTTATATATATGGATGTTCTACCTACATGTGTGTCTGTGCACATGTGTGTACCTGGTGAGGCTACAAGGGGTCATCAGATGCCCTGGAACTGGAGTTACAGACAGCTATGAGCTACTTATGTGGGTGGGAAATGAACCCAGGTCCTCTGGAAGAGCAGCCACTGCTCTTAACTGCTGAGCCACCTCCTCTGTCCCTAAATGACAACTTTAATGCAACTTTATCTTTTGTTTTATTCCTATATTATAGCACATATTCACTGACATGAATTCCTGTAATTTAGGACAGAGGTTTCTTTGTACATGAAATTTACCCTTATACTTTATAAAAAATGGTTTCTTAAGAAAATACCACCATAAATAAGATGGCAGGAGAAATTCCTACCACTTCAAGCATCTGAAAACAACAGAGACGGTAAGTCCCATGTAGTCCAGGCAGCCACTAAGCAAGAATGGCTCTGAACTTTCGATCCTCCCACTTTCTTCACATTTCCAAATGCTGGGAACACAGGCATGGACCACCATGACCAGTGTTTGTGATGCCGAGGACCCAAATACTTCTTACCCGTGGAACTGTCCTGCACTCTGAAGGCAATTTACCACCCCCTTCCTCTGCGGAGCTGCACAGCTCCACTCTCTCGATTAGAAACTACCCACACATTGTCACAGACTGGCCTCTCCTCAGGAGAGCGGGAAGCTAACACTGCAGAGCCATTCTCTCACACTGTCCATCCACAGCAGCACAGCTGAGTGCAGCAGTCGCTAGCCATATCTTACTATATCAATTTAATTAGATAACATTCAGTTCCTTAGCTACAATATCCACGTCTGAAGAGCCCAATAGCCAACCGAGGCCAGTGGCTACTGTACCAGATGGTGGTGACACAGGGTTTTTCCATCTTAACCAAGAATTCTACTGGACTGCAACGGGGATCTACTCCAGACTGCATTTGCTTACCAGGCTCAATGTTTCAAAAGATTTATTTTACTATTCTTCATTATGTCTGTGTATTTGTGCACACGAGGGCTGGTGCCTGAGGAGGCCAGACCCATCAGATACCCCGGGGGCTGGAGTTAGAGTGGTTGTGAATACCCCAACACAGGTGCTGGGAATTGCACTACTTTCTCAATGGTGTCTTAAGTGCCACTGAAAAGCGTCGACACAGCAGAAAACAAGCTATGAACACCCGAGTTACATTTAAAGAGCCGGATGAACATTTCTGATTTCACGGGCCATAAGGTAAGGCCCATGATTACTTCTCAACTTTGCTAGTGCAATGCCAAAACAGAGTTAAAGAACTAGTATCTGAAAGTGTTTTTAAAATGTCTTTTTTGTTTTTCAGGTGGTGGCAGCACGGGCCTTTAATGCCAGCACTTGAGAGGCAGAGACAGGTGGATCTCTGTGAGTTTGATGACAGCCTGGTCTACAGAGTGAGCTCCAGGACAGCCAGGGCTGTTTCACAGAGAAAAGGTCATCATGAGTTTCCTACACATACTATATTGTCATTATGAGTTTCTCACATATACTGTATTGTCCTCCTTCAGGTTTTAGACATGCTACTTCTGGTATTAGCAACATTCTCACAGACAAACTCTTACCAGCCTCCAGTTATGAGATGGCAAAGCACAGTAGTTAAGATCATACTGTGGAACAGTCTCCCTGGTGTTTAGCCCTGTCTGGACTGTTTATAAGCTGTTTGATCTCAGACATATCATGTAATGAATAAGGACCAATTTGCTCCATACTTTTTATTGTTTTATCAACCATAAGAATCACTGGGGTATAATGTACTGATACTAGAGCTGGTTATAGTAATACATTATATTCTCAGGAGTCAGATCGTGAGTTTGAGACCAGCTTAAGCTCCAGAATGAATTGCAGATCAGCCTGGGGTACAAAGTGAGACCCTGTCTCCAAAAAGGAAGGAAGTTAAGTTAGTTATGTAAAATTATAAAGATCACCAACCTATGGGTGAAACTTCTTTTTCTTCCAGGGAACTAGAGCTATTGGAGGCTGGACTCTGACCATCCTTACTTTCCGACGACGGATGTGCTTCTTCCTTTTCATCCTCTGAGAGATCAACTGTTCCGGATTCTCGGAGGACATCTTTATAAGCAAGAAAGACAAAATATTTGAATCAATAGCCAAAATACACATGTACAATTCATAAGATTTCCTCTTAATTCAATACTATATGGAGCTCAAAAAGGACTGGTATTGAGGAATATTAAGCTACACAAGGTAGGGATGTCACATGATATTTTATTAGGGAGAAGTCACTTACATTAGATCTCTCCCTACAGACTGGAGCACATAAACATTTCAAAGGGTGAGGTCAAGAACACATACTGTCCTTGCAGAACTCCGAGTTTGGTTCCCAGCACCTGGGTCAGACAGCTAACGACTCCCATACCCCAGGAGAGAAGAAGAAGCCAGTCTCATTCACACTTGCTGATGGTCCAATGAAAATAATTAATTTCATTAGGTCTTGAACAGAATGCACATCTTCTTTAAGATTAGAGGTAACAAAATTGAAATAAACCACAGAAACAAAAGCTCTTTGGAACCTCTATTTTTAAGAATTACAAAGAAAGTTCAAAGGGAAAAGAAGTTTGAGAACCACTGTTCTAGATGACAGGAAATGGTGTCTCCAGGCTTCAGTACTCTAGGTGGAGCAGATGACTGACATACTTTATGTTACAAATACAAAAGATGGTTCAAACTTCCAATGAACAGGGGGCCCTAACAGTGACAAAAAAAAAAAAAAAATCACAAAGATCCTAAACCTTGAAGACATTATTTTAAGTGAGATAAGATAGGTACACGAAGACAGACATGGCAAATACTCATTAATATGTAGAATCTGAACAATTTGAATGGTGGTTAATATGAGCTGATGTGGAGATATGTTGGCAAAGGCTACAAAATTTTACAAGAGTAAGTTTAGAGTATCTATTGTACAAAAGAGATATTAGTAAGTATCAGTGTGTTTTGTTGTATGCTCTACTTGAAAATGGCAGGAAGATTTTAGTGTCCCCACCATGAAAATGAAATTAGATCCCTGCAAACAACCCAAAGTACTTCAAGTCATCTTGTACACCATTAAGTATATCCAACTTTCATTTATAAGTAAGCATATATGAGAACTCACTAATATTTAATGGGGCTAAAAACAGTGGGAGAAAATCCAGCACTTCAGACTGATTTAGTGTTGAGTGTTTTGCCTGCATGCTTGCTATGTGTGTGTCTGGTGCCCAGCAAGGACGAAGAGGGCTTCCCAACTCCTAGAGTTGTAGACTATTGTGAGCCTTCATGTGGGGGTGCTGGACACTGAACTTAGGTCCTCTAGAAGAGCAGCCAGTGCTCCTAAGTGCTGAGTGGCCTCTCTCGCTCAAGTGATTTTGCACTTGACGACATAAATGGAACAGTCGACGGTGTCACCAATTTCAGCCACAATATATCGTTTTACATTATTTGTATTCACCTTTCGTTGTTACTGCAGATAACTGATGTTTATAATGACTGTTAAGGTAGAAGCTTCACCCCAGCCCCTGGCATTCATATACCCAAAGCATCTGGAGTGTTATGGTGTAAGTTCCACCCAAGACCCCCCTCCCTCATCTCTCTCCAAACCCTGCCCCTGCGGCATCTCAGAAAGCCCGCCAAATGATGGCCCCTCCCCCAGAGATACCCGAGACCACTCCCACAGGGTATTTAAACTGTGTCCCAGTGAACAGACTCGTGGTTTTTCTGGTATCCCTTTCCCCTCTCCTCTCTGGGGGATTGGAAGGCCACCCGAGAGCATCGTCCCCATTAACCTTTTTTTTTCTAATTCAGCTTGATTTGGTCTGATTTGGCCTGCTGCATGGGCGGAGAGACTTATATCGGGGTGTAGAAACCTTTCAATGACAATGTTTCAAACCCTGTCCCTTATTCTTTAAGTGAACTGTCAGGTGTTCTTGGAAAACTGTTAAGAAATTTCCAAAAGGCACATCTAACTTTCAGCTACTTTTAACAGCATCAGGAGTAGTTCGGCTCCTCTTTGAGGATTCAGGTGTGGGTCACCCGACTATGCAAATTCCGACGTGCCACCAAAATCTACAGGAGCCTTCCAACATCCCGGGCAGCACAGAGACCCCATCCCGCCCCTTGTTCACCTGCACCGCAGTCGCTGCGGGAAGCAGTTCCGGGGCTGCGCCGGGAACTCGCCCACACCCGGCCTCGGCCCCGGGTGCCACGGGCCCTGCGCGGCGGCTCCGCTCCCTCTGCCCTGCCGCCTGCAGACGGCCGGCCTGCATCCGCCCGCACCTCAGCAGGCCGCTCCTCCGCGCCGTCGCTGTCGCTGTCGCTGGACTCGACCTGGCGCCGCCTGAAAGTCCTCTGCGGCCGGAGAGCCATAATACAAGCAGGATTGGCGCGCGTCCCCAGGAGCTGTCTCCAGCGCCTGCGCAAGCGCACGCCTCGGGTTGCGCATGCGCAGTTGTGAGATTTCCGGCCGGCGCTGGGCCGCGGGTCCACACTTATGGCCAGAGTTGGCTGAGCCCAACAGTTCTCCTGAGTAGGACAAGAAAAATACTGTCCCAGACATTCTCGCAACTTCTATGACTGAGGTCCGGGAGAGGACTTGCACATCCCGCCCAGAACAGACAGGAATGGAGGGATAAACGATGACATTTAGCTTAAATGATGAGCAAAATCAAAAGATTGTCTCGGCATAGGACTTACAGAGAATTGAAACTCCTGCTTGTTGGGAAGGATCTTACAGGAGTTGAGAGCTGAATTCTGGGGAAGGGATTAGTGGACTCTTGTTTCAACCCATCAGATGAACAGCTTAGAAGCCTGGCAGAACCAGCACTTGAGAGAGACGGTGAGAATGGAAGCCGCAGGCACTAGTTCTGCCAGTCAAAGACTAAGGATGCTCCAGATAGCATCTGAGTCCTATGGCTGAGATTTCCCTGCTGCACTCTTGGCCGCTCAACGTTTCTACCAGTGTATTTTTAGATTGCTTTGGTTTATGACATTCATTTTCCTGTTACTATAAAAACTTCATAAAACTTTACACATTGACCGTGGAATTAGAATTAGGCTTATGGGCCATGGCCACTCATTTGTCTCCATAGCCGTATTTCCTTTGGGATGAGCACTGTGTTTTCACATTGACATCTGGATGGGTCCCAGGCAAGCTAGAAAGAGTAAACCCAGATGGTAAGTCAGTCTCTCAGAGCTGTGATAAAAGTTTGCAGTTGCTTCCATAAGTATCAGATTCCATGCTTCGACCTTTGGAGGTTATAACACCAGCAGCATGCCTCACCCCAACACCATCTTATGTTAATCCCATTGGTCAGAATGTAAGATTACTACCACAGTTTAAAGCCAAATTTGATGCAAGCTTTAATTAAATACTGGCCAGATGGATGGGTGCTGGCCAACTCCATACCCAGGGTTCCCAGGAAATAGCACTGAGTCATGTTTCGAGGGATTATGATGGCAAAACCCAAATTCATTGCATTTCCCATGAGCTCCAATTAGGGGCAAGCATACATCCAGATGTGCTTCCTGCTTAAATTTCTCCTACATCCAATCAGTAACAAAGATACATCCTGGCATATTTCCTGCCCGTGTGTGATCAAGCACATCTGGTGCAGATGAGCCAAACAAATTGTTTAGGAGAGTGAAAACACATGGCTTATCTCCCATAAACAGTAGCCATCAGCATCTCAGGACCTATATGTCTTTGGGCAAGGGACTTGCACGTCAGAGCATTTTTGTTTCATGGATCTCTAAGGCATAATAATTAAACTTTAAAATGTAACTTTGGCTCTCCCGTTCCCCCTTGAGTTGTATCCTTGACTCTGTTGATGGCTCCCTGTTTATATTGGAATCTAAAAACCATCAGTTTAATGGTGCCCAAACAGGAATTATCATTTAGTTAAGTCCCCGGTGATGCAAGAGTCAACCGCAATTAGCAGAAGCAGATTGGCCAAAGGCCCTGTGGTGGTTGACATCAGAGTTTCTGTCTAAAAGGAACCTGGAAATGAGAATGCTATTTACTTCAGTAAGTAAATAGTGCTCCACCAGCTTGTCAGAACTCCATGAATCAATGTTAAAACTCTGAACTTTTGAAATCTTAGTGTAATAATAGCATAGAAAGAAATCTGAAACATTCCCCATTTTCATATACCTTAAATCAATGATTTATATCTTTACAACTTACATTTACACATCTTAAATCATTTTCTTAGATCCTCAAAACTTACATAGACTTTCTCCTTCCTTTTTCCTTCCCATATAATCATTTACCAGAGACACTATTAGTTATTACAGAGAACAGTCATTGTAAAGTATGGTTCTTTAGTAGAAAGTTATATCTGAAATCTGTTTAACTCTCAATATGAATCCTGTTATCAAGGCAAACCTGTCTGCCTTTTCTCAATAGGGGACCTGGGAACTCTAGAAAAAGCAAGGTGTTGTGAAATATTATTTTAAGATATGTTACATTTGCTTATGCTGTGGAATATTTGTTTAATGATGCCAATATGTGTTGCATTATTTTATGTTGCATTTGTTTAACTCTATGAAGCCTGTCCCAAACACCTGATTGGGCTGATAAAGAGCTGAACAGCCGATAGCTAGTCAGGAAGGGGATAGGTGGGGCTGCCAGGAAGAGAGAATAAATAGAAAGAAGGAAAGATCTGGGAGTAAAAGGAGGAGGACAGGCGGACTCCAGGGGCCAGGCACCAGCCACACAGCAAGTCAAGGAATAAGAAGTAAAAGGGGGAAAAGGTATATGTAAAGGTAAACACTCTGTCTTTAAATAATTAGTTATTTCCAAAATTATATTGTCTGGATTTTGCTCTTTGGGGACTTTCAACAGTGAAATGCCATTCAAGACTGTCAGTCAGACATCCATTCCTGTGACAACAGAAAGAGGCAACATTTATTTTCATTATTGGCTGTCTAGACAGACAGGAAAATCAAAATTCCTCTGTATTGATGGGGAATGTATCAAGTTAGATGGGGAGGAGTGAAAGGATTGAAACCTCCTCTCTTCTAGCATTTCTTTCCTTCCTAGCTATGTTTATTTATTTATTTATTTATTTATTTATTTATTTTGACAAAGGATATCATGAAACTCAGACTGATTTAAACTTGCTATGCAACCAAGGTTGATCTTGAACTCCTGAATGTTTGGATTACAGGCCTGTGCTGCCACACTGATTTCTTGTCTGTGTTGAGATAAGGACAACATCTGAGAGATTCTTGGCACTCTCTGATGAAGGAGCAACACAACCTCAAGAGGTGAGCCACCTCCTAGCTGGGATGGGTTTTCTTTAAGACAGGGTCTTACTATGTAGCCCAGGCTTGCCTCAAAGTCATGGTAATGCTGCTACCTCAGCTTCCCAAGTGCCACTACAGGTATAAGCCTGTATACCAGAAAGCTCTTATTTTTTTGGAAAAGTTACTTAATTGCCCTGGGCCTCAGTGACATCAGAGGAAAACAAATTAGCTGCCTTTTATCCCTAAAAAATCAGGAAACCATAGGACATTTGTTCATCCTTCACCTCTGAGTTTTGTCATCTGGCAATGACCTTAGAGCTGCCCCTTACCATGAAAATTCTCCATTCATCTCAGAAAAGATCAAATCAAGAGGACAGAGAGACCAACCGAGGCCTACTGAAGGAGGTTCTTTCCTATTCTTGACACAGGTAGCTCATGGATAGCAGGGTCACTGTTCACTGTGATCCAAAGGGAAACTGTTTTCTATGATCTCCCCTAAAACAGCCTGTCTCCCTGACATGCTGACCCTTGACAAGGAGAGCAGGACACACAGAGGTCACAGGCTCCACACCACAGCTGCCTCCAAGCCACCCTGTCCCAGAACACTTCCTGGCTAGAAATGCTTTTTTTTTTTTTTCAGACAGCACTGTGCTTCAAGGCACCACTGCCACTTAGACCTTCAAGTATGATCTTGCCAGCCTCACAGAAACTGAATTTGTGTGAAAGCAGACACACAGGAGGGCAGGTCACCTTAGAAAAGAGGCCACAGGAGCCAGGTGGTATAGGTGTAGAAAGTCTTTCTCACTGAGAACTGGGAGACAGTTTTTTCAGAAACACCGGAATGATATAAACCCTTTTTATTATTAATATTTAGTTTTGTTCTTGTTTCTCTCTGTGTATGCATGTACATATGCCTATGGCTCGTGTGTACAGGGACCCTGGTGTGCAGGGAACACAATAGTTCATTGGATCCTCTGGAGCTGGAGTTACAGTTGAAGCTACCTTCCCTGGGTGCTGGGGTTACAACTACTCTTCAAGAGCCCAGTGCTCTTAACCATGGAGCTGTCCTTATTTTTTTTTTCATTTTTTAAAGTTTAAATCCCAGCTCCTTCTCCCTCCCCTCCTCCCCCTCCCCCACGCCCCACCAGAGCCCCCAGTCCCCTACCCAATCCCCACTCTGATCCCCAGGGAGGGTGAGGCCCTCCATGGGGGAATCGCCAGAGTCTGTCATTTCATCCAGGGCAGGGCCTAGGCCCTCCCCAAAGAGTGCAGGCTGAGAGAGCATTCCTCATTGTGGGATGGGCACCCAAAGTCCATTTGTATGCCAGGGATAAATACTGATCTACTACCCAAGGCCCCAAAGAGTTAGGGTTAGGGTTTTAGCCTCACAGCTGGTATTTTTCAAAGTCCCTAAAAAGGCCAGCTGATGGTGTGGTTGCAATAGTACCATAAGGTATATTATTTAATATGCCAGCTAGAGGAAGGGTGTGGATAGAGTGACTTCCCATTTGAAAACTGTGTGCAAAAGGATTATTAGAGTAACCGTGGTATAGGGCCTTGGATTTGCTACTTTTAGGTCATGCTTGCACAAACAAAGATCGAAGTATAAGCTGCCCAGAGTGGGGACAGACAGAGTGGTACTCCTGGAGGGAGACCCATACCAACTATGGTAGAGGCCTTCTCTGTCCCTACTTCCTTCCTCTGGCCCTCTGCCCACTGCCTCCAGGGTCTACCTGGGACACTCATGCACTGCTCACAAAAATGAATACTGTTGTGCTTTTTCAAGTGCAAGTCCAAGACAGGCTGAGGGGAAATTCCACCCATGCTCGGCAAGAAATCCCATGTGCCCCCACTGTCTGGTGTCTCTAGGATTCCGTGTCTCCTTGAGCTTCTTCTACACTAGTGGTTCTCAATCTTCCTAATGCTGCAACCCTGTAATACAGTTCCTCATGTGATCGTGGCCTCCCCTACCATGAAATTATTTGGCTGCTACTTCATAACTGTAGCTTTGCTACTGTTAAAATTTGTGGTGTAAATATCTGATTATGTGATCCCCAGAGTAGGATTGAGAGCCCACAGGTTGAGGACCACAACTCTGACCTCCTTCCTGGAGTTGTTCCACCCGTCCCCAAGTGCTGGGGAATGCAGAATGAGGGTCCTCAAGACTGAGCACACCTAGCAAGACCCACGGGCAGGCACAACTTTCCAGAGTCCTGGGCTTGTGGATTTTCTTACACAATGCATTCTCTCCCTGGGCAGCTGTTTCATACCCCCACAGTGTCCACCACCAGCTCTGTGGCAGTTAGTTCCCACTTCACCACACTTAACACACAATCCACAAAATATTCACTTGTCGCCTGCAGAGCTGCATCCAGGTGACTGTGGGCCCTTCATGCTCAACTGTCCAAAACCTGTCTCTCCCACTCCAAATTGCCACACACCTGGGTCCCTTCCCTTGGAGTCTTTCCAGGTTATCATGGAGATTTTAATAGGGGTCACTCCCCTTCTTGAGCCTGTTATATGGAATATGGTGGTTGAAATCAGTTGTACCATCAAGGACACTATGTCACAATATTGGGTGTCAGGGTCATAAGCTTCTGCTGTAGACAAGGCAGTGGCTGGGAATGTGGTTTGAATAAAAATTGCATCCATGGGCTCATAAATTTGAATGCTCAGTCATCAGGGAGCAGCATTACTTGAAAAGATTAAAAGGTATGGCCAAGCCCAGAGCCTTCCTCTATGCCATTGGAACAGGATGGAGCTCTCAGTTACTCATCCAGCACCATTTTTGCCTGTGTGGTGCGTTGATGACAATGGACTTCCCACCATGATGAAAATGGACTAAACCTCTGAAACTGTAAGCAAGCCCCATTTAAAATTTTCTTTTATAAGAACTGTCACGATCATGGGGTTTCCTCACAGCAACAGATCACTGACCAAGACACAGTGTCAGTATTATTTGTCCTGACTGTCCCATCATGGTGTCAGGTTGGCTCACATTCCCTCTCATCATTCTGTCCTGTGCCTGAGATTCAGACAATCACACTTGCCCTCATGGAGAGTCACACCTAACTTGGTGCAATCTACTTTGACCTCACAGAAAGAAATGAGCCTGGACCTGAAATCTCTTCTGTGGGATCACATGTGTCAGTGATCCTCAGGCAAGCTGTCTTCTACACCTAGTAGACTTAACACAAAAGTATGAGACGAGAGACGCTAGACCAATAGCTAACTTATTTTCTATGGAACCATTTAAAATGATGTTCTCAAATCCTCTGACATCTGCCATTCAAGTTTTGTCCTCAGTGGCCTTCCTCTACCACCCAAGCCTACTTGAAAGTTTCTCCTTAAAAGAAGTCACCAGAAATCTAATGGGAGATGGCCTTCTGTATATATGTTTTATATATGTTTCTCTTATTGGTTGATTAATAAAACACTATGGCCAATAGACGCAGAGAGATAGGTGACACTGGGAGATAGGTGACACTAGGAGATGAGGAATGTGAGGAGCCGCCCTCGATATCGCTATCGCCATTAGAAGATGGCGCTGACATCTGCTGTCAGTTGGAGTTTACCGTTTAAGCTGTGCCTCACCCGTCATCTGGGGTGATGAGCAAACCACCAATCCCGGCTCTACACGTCTCACTCGGAGTTCCTAGGCTTATATAAGGGGCTGGGTTTCTTAGCTTGGGGTCTCCCTCTCAGAAGCTGATCATCTATCTCTCAAGATGTATTAAAGCTTTACTGCAGAAGGATCCGAGTGTCCTGCATCGTTCTTGCTGGCGAGACGGTAGCGCGGGACATCTGGTGCCGAAACCCGGGAACTCTTCAACATCGCCGGCACCGCGGGAGACCCCTCGGAAGACAGGGCGGATTCAGAACTGCAGGGACGTAAGTTCAGAGAGGTATGCTTTATCCTGAACACCCCTTTTCTCGACTTTGGCCTTAGTTTGTCATCACCGTGGGACGGGTCAGTGGAGGCTTTGGTGCTAGTCCTGTTTGTCCTTCTTCTTCATCGTGGCTGGTGCTGACAGAACGGTGCTGTCAGTCTGGTAAAGGAGTCGAGCGCCGTTTTTTAGATAAGCTGCCAGCGCGATGGGGTTGTCACAGTCAGTGGTTACTGCCCTACAGACTGTGCTAAAACAAAGAGATTTTAAAATTGCACCACGAACACTTCAAAATTTTGTGAAGGAGGTAGATAGAGTGGCACCATGGTATGCTTGTTCCGGGTCCCTCACTGTGGCCTCATGGAACAAGCTAGGTAAAGAACTAGACAGGAAGCATGCAGAAGGAGATCTCCGCTTAGGTACCAAAGCCATTTGGAAGCTAGTTAAAAACTGCTTGGAGGATGAGGCCTGTCACCCTGCTATAGTAGAAAGTCAGGGAACCTTAGAGGAAGTTCAGGATAGCATGTCAGAAACTGAACGGAGTGAGAGAATGGGAGCTCGCAAAAGGAAAGACATGTCTAAGAAAAAAGGCCCTCCCCAAGAAGTTAAGAAAGGGGGAGAGAAAGAAGGAAGTGATCATTCACCCCCTAACAAATCTAAGAAAAAGAAAAAGCCAGAATCTAGCCTATACCCTACGGTAGAGCTAGAAGCCTTGGAGCTAGATAATTCCGATTCTGACACTCTGGATTCTAGCGAAGAAGGTGGTCTAGAGGAGGAGGTGGCACGGTATGAGGAAGAAAGATATCACCCTGATAGACACCGGCCGCTGAAAACAAAAATGAATGTGAGGCCACCGCCTATAAATCCGGCGGGCTCACGCCTTCGGCGCCTCCGCAGTATGAGCTTCGGCTGAATACTGGTACTGACTCCTTTTTACCTTTAGAGGAACGGAGAAAAATACAAATGGCTTTTCCAGTATTCGAGAATGCGGAAGGCGGAAGAGTACATACCCCCGTAGATTACAATCAAATCAAAGAATTGGCCGAATCCGTTCGTAATTATGGGGTCAATGCTAACTTTACCACAATACAGGTGGAAAGGCTTGCTAATTTTGCCATGACTCCCACTGACTGGCAGACGACAGTGAAAGCAGTGCTTCCCAACATGGGACAATACATGGAATGGAAGGCTCTCTGGTATGATGCAGCCCAGGCGCAAGCTAGAGTTAATGCCACAGCTGAAGATGAGAATCAGAGGCAGTGGACATTTGAAATGCTGACAGGTCAGGGTCAACATGCCCTTAATCAAACCAACTACATCTGGGGCGTCTATGGTCAGGTGTCGGCCGCCGCTATTAAAGCATGGAAGGCCCTCACAAAAGGGGAGAATCCAGTGGACACCTTACAAAGATTGTCCAAGGATCCCAAGAGCCATTTTCAGACTTTGTGGCCAGAATGACCGAGGCCGCCGGTCGCATCTTTGGTGATTCAGAACAAGCTATGCCCCTGATTGAGCAACTTGTCTATGAACAAGCAACCCAGGAATGTCGAGCGGCTATCGCCCCTCACAAAAGCAAAGGTTTACAAGATTGGCTCAGAGTGTGCAGGGAGCTGGGGGGACCCCTAACCAATGCAGGACTAGCTGCCGCCATTTTACAAACGCACAGGCGTGGAGATTTATCTAGTCGAAAAGCTTGTTTTAATTGTGGGAAAATGGGGCACCTTAAGAAAGATTGTCAAGCCCCTGAAAGAACAAGAGAACTGGAGCTTTGCCGTCGTTGTGGTAAAGGTTATCATAGGGCTAGTGAATGCAGGTCAGTCCGGGATATGAAAGGGAGGCTTCTGCCCCCTATTGAAGAACCCAAGGTACCCCAATCAAAAAACGGGTCACGGGGCCCATGGTCCCAGGGCCCTCAGAAATATGGGAACCGATTTCAGAAAAGCAATC